TATACATGACTGAGGGGTATGGTTACAAAGCCTTGCAGTCGTGTATACATAAGTGCCGGTGTGTGTATTTCTGAGTGTATCTGGCATTGTCTACCTATGTGTGACAGGTATTGGGGTGTGTTGAACGGTTGCAACTAAAAATGATTGCACCGGCCCTGTGTGGAGCAGAGGATGGGCAAGTTTGCCGAAGCATACAATGACATGGCGGAACATGTTCAATGTTTAAATCCCTACCTCAAACTTACCTAAATTAAGTTGATGGACCTGGAAGACAAATCCAGGAGACAGAGCATCCATCTGAGAGGGGTCCCAAAGGAGGTTAAAAACCGTGATCTCCATAGGTTGATTATGGGCTACTTCAGCTTTCTGGCACTTGATTTGCCTATGTACTGCTGATTTAGTGAATTCACAGGTTGATAAAACCAACATTTATGTCCCCTGACACTCCCACGCACGTTTTAACCCACCCGCACTATCACCATGCTAAAGAAACACTTCTTATGGCATTCAGGAAAACTATGGATGTTCTGCAATGCTATTCCTCCATCCAGATGTAAACTAATTTGTCTGCTTCTACACTACAGAGGAGATAGGAGTTCAGAGATGTCACTGATGCACTCCAGCAGCAGCAGCGGATACTGTACCACTAGGGTTACCCAGCCAAGCTCCTGGTTCATTGCAAATTACACTCTGTCTCATTACTGGAGGAAGGGAGAAAAACCCTGCATACATGAGGGGATCATGACAAACACCCAAGTAATGATGCAGGTCCCTACTGAACAGAGTAGCTCCAAAGCTGCTCGATGCTTCTTAGAAATCTTTACCCCAGGTTGAGATACGATGCATTTACCAGTTTGAATTCATTATTTTTTATTTAATGCATATACACTATTTTACCTGTTTTAAGTTTACTTTATATAACACTGTATATGGATTACTTTATTACTATTTATATTGACATAAAAAAAAAAAAAAAAATCTCCAGAGTTTCTTTCAAAGATGGTTTAGAATTTCTATATAAATCAAGAGATTTCTTTTCTGTCAGTTTTTCCAGAGCTTTCTTCTCTGAAAGAAGAGAAATGAAACAAATCAGACCTTAAACGATTTTTGCAAGTCTATGTCATGTCATGGGGTTTTTGTTTGGTGGATATATGCAGGGCAGCCACATGGACATCCCTGTTGACTTTCTTTAAGCAATACAAATGGTAAATAGCTAACAGTTCTTACTCTTGCTTTGGTAAAGGCCTTTTGATGGCTGTTACTTCTATAAACAAAGTGTGTTTGCAGAGTTCCGTGTGGTGTCCCTCCCCTTTGGTTTGACCCATTTGTGGTATAATTGTTTTATTTACTGTAATTTTCTTTTCCTGGCTATTTTCCATAACAGCATTACGCTCCCTCCCTTCTGGATTCTGGTTATGGACTTTACCGAGTTACATGTCAGGTGCCTGTAGGCACAGAATTCTAAGGAGCCCCTGCTCTCAAACCCCTAAAAAGGCAGATAAAGTAAGTGGATTTAGGAGCTGGCCATTGCAAGCCTAAAAACATATATTTATATTTGATAACTGCATATGTATACATGTATGTTGTGCTGTTACATAGGGTTGCCATCTGGCCAGTATTTTACCTGCACAGTCGGTATTTGAGGCTGTGTGGCGGGTGCCTTTATTGCAAAATACAGACAATACAATTGCCAGTATTTTTCTTTGAAGAGAATGTGCTGCAATATCGGCACCAGCCACCAAGGTGTGCATTGCTCTAAGGCCATGCTAGGAAAACTAGTTGCTGCTAGAGCCTGTGTGGAGAAGGCTGAGATGGGATATTGCAGCATGTCCTTGCCCTCTCCACTAATAGAGTCCGCATGGGAGGAGTGGGAGCAGCAGAAGCTACAGGACAAGCAGATGGAAGATTGGCAGCAGGACCTGAGTCCTGAGAGCAGGTACATGTGTGTTTGTGTGTGTGTATTCAGCAGTCTGTATGTATGTGTACTCAGCAGTCTCTGTGTGTTTATTCAGCAGTCTGTGTACATGTATTCAGCAGTTTGCATATGTGTGTGCATTTAGCAATCTGTGTGTGTGTTTATATATATATATATATATATACACATTTAGACAACGAAACACTGCTATACACACACATACACTTATCCAGACAATATATACACACAGTCAGACAAAGTACAAACATTGTAAGTATTTTATTAGTGATTTAGGGAATTTTCTGCTTCCAAATGTTCTCGTTCTTTTATGTACATTGTGTGCTGTGATGTCATGCCTATAATTAATAATGCAAATTAGCATGGCCGGTATTTTTTCCCAATAAAGGTGGCAACCCTAGTTGTGCCTATTTCTACTCGTAATGTACTTTGAATCTGTGAGTGTATGCAGCTATGTAAATGCATACAGGGTTAAAGGAACACTATAGAATTAGGAATACAAAGCTTTTTTAACTTACCTCTTTCCAGAGCTGAGGCTCCCATGGCGCTGACTAGGTCTCCTGTGACATCACAGCAATGATGGGAACTAATGTGCATGTGTTTGCGCATTGAAGCTTTCCTGTAGGAAAGCTTTGAATCAATGCTTTCCCAAGGGAAATTTGAAGACGTTAGATGTCCTTGTCCAAAGCATAAGGATGTCCAACGTCGTTTCACGGATTAAAACTCCATTAGGCACCAGGAAGCACCTCTAATGGGTGCCTTTCACAGAAACTGCAATGTTCTACATTTCAAGGTTAAACAGACAAGGTCACTGCACCCAGATCATGTCAATGAGATTAAGTGGTCTAGGTGCATATAGTGTCTATTTAAAGATAATGTTAGAAGTTGTTTGGGTAAAGAGAAGTTTATGGTTAGAGAGGGATTAATGTCATAGTTAGATTACATAAGCTATTTAGTCAGTGGCGTACTAAAAGGGGGGAGGTCCGCCCCGGGTGCAACCAGTTAGGGGGGTGCCTCCAGGGCTGGCCAGGCTTGTGACTCTGTGAGCTGTGTGGCTGCACAGGGTGCCGGGAGCCACACAGCTCACACACGCAGGGGCTGGGAATTCAGCAGTACAGAAGTACTGCACTGAGAATTGGGGGCGGAGCCAACCTGGCCGTGGAGGCGGAGCCAAACTGGATGCAGGGGCGGAGCTACAGCAAACCACCATTTGCTGCGTTTCACTGCAGCACACTGAGGGGAAGCAGGAAGGAGTCCCTGCTTCCCCAACTCCAACACACCAGGGACTCACTGACTCCACTCCTCCACCAGTAAGTAAGAGAGAGAGTGTGAGTGTGTGTGAGACTGCTTGTGACTGTCTGCCTGTGACTGTGTGTGTGAATGTCTGCCTGTGACTATCTGTGACTCTGTGTGTGAATGTCTGCCTGTGACGGTGCCGCTTTAAAGGACCACTATAGTGCCAGGACAACATACTTGTTTTCCTGGCACTACAGTGCCCTGAGATGCCCCCACCCTCAGAGTCCCCCTCCCGCCATGCTCTAGGGGGAGGAAGGGGTTAAACTTACCTCTTTCTCCACCGCCGGGCAGGGAGCTCTCCTCCTCCTTGGCTGAATGCGCATGCACGGCAAGAGCCGCACATGCATTCAGCCAGTCTCATAGGAAAGCATTCACAATGCTTTCCTATGGACGCTGGCGTCTAAGCGCGGAAACGCCTCTAGCGGCTGTCAATGAGACAGCCACTAGAGGCTGGATTAACCCTATTATAAACATAGCAGTTTCTCTGAAACTGCTATGTTTATAGAAAAAAGGGTTAAACCTAGCTAGACCAGGCACCCAGACCACTTCATTAAGCTGAAGTGGTCTGGGTGCCTATAGTGGTCCTTTAAACAACCCCTAACCCATCCAATACAGTAAAACTGCACATTTTAGAGTGGCCTTTTATTGTGGCCAGCCTAAGGCACACCTGTGCAATAATAATGCTGTCTAATCAGCATCTTGATATGCCTCACCTGTAAGGTGGATGGATTACCTCGGCAAAGGAGAAGTGCTCACTAACACAGATTTAGACAGATTTGTGAACAATATTTGGGAGAAATAGGCCTTTTTGTGTACATAGAAAGTCTTAGATCTTTGATTTCAGCTCATGAAAAATGGGGGCAAAAACAAAAGGTTCTGCGTTTTTAATTTTGTTCAGTGTACTTCAGAAAGGAATAGAAGAACAACAGATTTTGTGAGAGTAAGAGAAAAGGAAGCGATTGGAAAAAGGTAAGTTTGGTGTGATAGTGCCACTATATATTTTCTCTATATTCTTATTACCTAGATTGAAGTCACAATGCTTAGCAAAGTTTCTTGTGTGCTCGATTTGGCATAGCAGAATTATTAACTAGGGGTCTTCATGCACTGATAGGAGTGTTGTTCAGAACATGACATGTAAAACAAGTTCTGCGCTCAAACTCCCATCACTACTGGGCGGAAGCAACGACCATAGTACACATCAGCCCCAATACATACAGTAAAAAACAAATAAAGAAAAAGTTCCCTGCGCTCTCTCCCAAATCCCTATGTATATTTAAACAAATGGAGGTTATTTAGTTACTCCAATGGCCATTGGAGTAACTAAATGACCTCTGTTTGTTTAAATATACATAGGGATTTGGGAGAGAGCGCGGGTAACTTTTTTTTTATTTGGTTTTTACTATTTAGGGGCAAGATGCTAAATAAGGACCCGTCACCACGGAAACCAACATTTTAGTACTTTTCATCTAAAGTTTTGCCTTGCTGATTCTCCCCCTAAATTCTTCAAAGTGGAGCAGAACCTCACAGCAATCAATGGAATGTTCAGGCTGGCCGCTAGTTATACTTTTTGAATCTCTCTTCCTAAACAATTCTCATAGTGTCTGCTTTACCCTGTCTGACTGGGAAGTGACATTGTAGGGGTTCAAGCTGCCCCTTGCTCTCAGGAAGCCAATCCTACGGCAAGGGATGCAAATAGAAGAGGTGCATAGGCCCACCCACAGCCTATATAGGGAGCATCCCAGATACAGTACACACGGAATTTAGGATGTGAATGGGCTTGGCTATTAGTTTCTCACTTTGGACACATGCTCCACCTCTGCGGCTAATTGAGTTCATGCTCTGTATGTCCTGACAGTGCCCTGCTTGATGCCCCACACCATGCTGTCTCGCCCATCCAGTCTTTAGAATAAGTCAGTACACCCCTCGGTGCCCCTTGCATTGTGCCCCACTGCCAGGCCCGCCACCTCTGCCATCCATTAATCCCCGTCACCTGACCCTGGATGCCCCTACCGGGATGCAGCTGCGAAGCTCCGGGCTGTGGCTGCTTCTGTTCGCCGTGTGGGCTGTGCAGGTGCCGGGGTGCCAGTCAGTGTGCGCCAGGCGGGGGCCGCCCAGGTGCTGCACGGGTCGGAACAACGCATGTACCGGGGTGAGTCCAGCCGGTACCACGTGTTACTGTGATACTTACTGTCACCGGAGCGCAGACTGCTGTGAGGATTACCGCGGGCAGTGCGGGGGGAGCGGTAAGTACCCCGGGAGGGGACTGATGCTAACATACATCCCATTAGCCACAACTAATAATCCAATCACTCCAAGCACCTTACATGTTACTTGCTATGTCTTAGTCACATTACAGTGGATACATAGAACACAGTTTGATCAGAAATTATTTCTCTACAGCAAATAGTCAAAAGCTGAGACCATCCCAGTACAGAGTCTTACAGGTGCTGGGAATAAATGTTCTAGCTAAATATTAGAAATAGGAACAACATTCCACTGTTTTCACAGAGAACGTATCACACTTTAATTTTTTTTATACCCCAATACATTTTACCCTTTCTGGAGTACGATATATATTTATTTAAACTCGAAATATTTTATAGAAAAATTGCATCTATTTTTTTTTTACGTACATGTTTATTATTAATTTGCTATACATTGCCAAGAGCCATGGGATTACTGTTACAAAGATAAAGTCTGAATAATTAATGTGTTGGGGCCAAGTTTCAAGAAGTCTCCACAGTTGCACAGTAAATGGTGTCCCTCCATCCAGTTCAGATCCCTCACAATCACACTTTCTGTGTGTTTAACCCCTTAAAGACCAAACTTCTGGAATAAAAGGGAATCATGACATGTCACACATGTCGTGTCCTTAAAGGGTTAATCACTGAGCGCTGAATTGCAGTGAATGGGAAACAGAGCTGTAGAATTTTGGAAATAGTGCTGATTGACTTGGAAACATTCCACAACTCAACTTTATTCCTAGCTTGGCTGTAGTCACCGAGTCTCATTTAGCTTAAATTTTACGTTTCAGTTACCCACTTACTACAATTGCTTGTTTAGTGAATAAACCCCATTGTGGCTTTACATGTGCAGCCATGGTGTTTGTGTGTAATCAAAAAATGTCGGCTGATTTTGTATTTAATAACAAAAATCTTTGTTCATAACAACAACTTGAGTGAAACTTTTTGGCAAAGTAATAGAGACTACAATGTGACTGCTGTTTTATACTATATCCATATGTGCATACATCTCAAGGAAAACAATGGGAAGACCAGGATTGGCTGAGGAGTCTCAGTCGCTTCCTGTTCTATGGAGAATAGCAACAAATAAGGTCAATTCGAAGAAGAGTACTTCCTTTTAATTAATAATGGTTTGCAATGTATTTTACACACTCTTATTTAATGTCTTATTTACGGAAGGCATTAAAAAAAGCAATAATCTTTATCGAGCAGTGTGTGTAGATATATATATCTTCTATCATGTATATTGTTTGAGTATGTGAGGTGTGTATATATTTTACATAATATATAATTTTTTATATTTTTTTTGTCATTTAATTGTCATTGAGATGATAGCATATAGCAGTACCAGCATAAACTTGTCTTTTATTAATGACTATTCACAAAATAAGTCATAAAGAAAACTGGTAAAGTTAAAGACAGCTCGTTTTTGTAATGTAAAATAAATAACAGGAGTATCGTTGTGTGTAACACCTCAATAGCAAGAACATTCACAACATATATTCTAGATGAGACGCAGTTGAAAGGCTCACATTATGAGAGGGCCATCTGCTGATAAAATATCACTAATAAGGCTTCTAAAGAGGCTCATATGATCCATTTCAAATGGAAGTGAGGGTAAGGGCCATGTGTAGGCAGTACAAACGATAAAACAAAGAGAAACATAAAGGCAGACACAAAACAAGAAACAACCTATAGACTGTGCGGTCAGACTATACAACATAACTATATATTTGAACTGGAATAGTTGCCTGAGCAGTCCATAACAATCAGCCAATGCCCATCTTGGAAGCTTGATATTCGAGCAAGGAATTAAAGCCGAGATATATCCTCAGCTGAAATCTGCACTGTTGCGAACCAGCAGGTATACAAGGACTGCAAACCTCCAACCCCAGGAAGAGAGGCAAGGCAAGAAGCATCTCCCAGTGGTGCTAGCTTATCCTGGTTTACGGTTCCTCAGAGTGTGATGGCTGTGTCGGGATAGGAATTCCTAGGCGTTCGCTGCCTCGAACTTGGAAGATAACCCCTTCACTGCCCAGTCCCTGATAGGGCATAGTCATGCTCGCCACGGAGGTTCCCAAAAACTCACCACGAGAGGAGTGTGTTTACATCAGACATCGCTGTGCTCCTGCCTTAACCTCTCGTTTCGTCTGCAGGTGTCCCCAGAATGTGACACACAAACAAAGAGGTACAAGATTCAGCAAAAAGGTTTCATATGCTTGGTGTGACCTTCAGGAACTGTCATGTTATGCATTCTACCATTTTAGGTAAGATGAAGCTCAGGAATTGTGTGCTCTAACACAGAGGTCTTGTAGAGTGGCGCTTGTCTAAGGGCAATGCTGTAGTGGGCCAGATACAATAAAGATGCAATCTTTATGAAATATTGATGTTGACTGCGTTAGAATTTCACTGCGCCGGTCCAAAGATAACATACGATAAAGAAAGCCCTAGTTTGTCCTATGGTAAATCTCGGGTTGACAAAAGGTGGAGCTTGTCAGGATACTGACAGGGATCCAATACGCAGAGTGCGGACAGAAGGAGGTACGTATACCGGACCTTAGAATGGCCGGACTAACGTATGGACAAAACAAGAATAGTCAAAAGGTAAGCCGAGGTCGAGGGAGCCGGAGGACAGGTAAGCAAGATACAAGCCGAGTCAAAGGAGAGGAGAGGACAACAGGACAAAAGACAAGCAAGGTCAAAACCGGAAACACTAAGAGAGAGAACGCGCTGAGTGACTAGCAAGCTAGAACCACGACAGGGCAATGAGCAGTAGTAAAGGTTTCCTTTAAATACCCTGTCACCTTAATTGAGACCACGCCCCCAAAAGGTCCGGAATAGCGGTTCCCGGCACTTCACGTAATGCTGACGTCATGACGTCGACGCTAGCCGTCGCGTCATAAAAGGGGGAGGAGCTAGCGCGGCCGGCGCGAAAACGGCCGGAATTTGCCGAAATGCTAGGGGCAAGGAGCCCCTAAACAGAGAGGATGTCTTCCCTGGAGTCAGCACCAACAGGTACCCTGACAGAGCTCTACCATCAGCTTTTTTCCCAATTCTTGCAGTTGTCACATTTGGTGGCTATGAAATTCAGACATCAATCTGTGGAAGTTCTTGCGGGATCCATTATAAACCTCAGCGATGTTTTCTCCTGATAGATGAAGCCCGGAGCTGAACAGGATGCGGACAGCAAAGATGGCAGGTAAGTACAACTAATTCCCCTGCACCCTGTGGCCACCAGACCATCACCAGAAATGTTACCTTCAGGGGTCAATAGAAAACATGCAACGACCCCCAAAAGTGATAGATCCGCTTTAAACGAATAACCCTGCCACAGTCCAAGAGAGTTATCCACTTAACTCTGAATCTTACTGAATTCCAAATGTAAAAATTGATGCTGAAATAGTCAGGCTAACACTGTAGCTGTATTGAAGAATTTTTCTAAATCAGCTTTTTTTTGCATCAGTTTTGCCATTTGGATTTTGATTCAGTGCCATTTGGAGATTAGTGAATATGTCTGTGTATTTTTACTAGTAAGGGTACCACTTCAGCCTTCAATGTCAAGAAACAAATGAGATTTAACATATGGCTGGCTGACTAGTAGGTTAACTGTGTGTCCTGTGTTGTAATTTTACCCAGCTTAACCCAGGGGTTGACTCCTTGAGACGTGAGATGAATCTTTTTTTTTCTACTGAAAAAAAAACTGTAATAATTATCGTTATCACCTTAAATAACTCTTTAAATAACATTAGAACCCAAAAAAACAACTGAATTCCTTTAAGGTCATGGAAATTTCATGTACATAGCATTGTGTCCTGCTCCTAGATATGTTTTACAGCACCTGTATAGGATTGTTGTACAGATCTGGAGTTAATTTTTTAATATTTGAATTACATATAGAAGCAAAATTACATTACACTGATACTTTCCCCTGCCTGGGAGCCTCAGTGCTTTACATTCAGTGTGATGCATGGACGCATGTCTCTGTCACCTAAGTCAGTTATTGCTTTTTTTCAGTGAGGGGCACTTTTTTATATACAGGGGACTCTCCACGTTAACATTCCAGCTGCATAAAATGTATCATTTTGTCTGAGATGGCTTTTGTGACTATGAACTTGCTTGGCAAAACCTACTGCTGGCATTCATTAGGGGTGGATAGATTACCTGATATTGTTTTGTGATGGTGGGGTGTACCATTTCTTCCCCCTATTTAGATGGGATAGTCACTATTTTGGGCTCAAAACCCTCTGTTATTCCTTTTTCTAGGAGCTCCCTATTGTTGGTGTGTCTGAGTGTAATAGAACTTCACAGCAATAATACTCACAGTAATGTGTCTTTAACCTACAAAAAATGTGTTAGAAAACAGTCCGTAAATAACATACATTGTTCTTGTTCTAAATTACATTTTAGTTGCATAAATTGAAAGCAAGTCACCTAAAATTTCTCACAACAGCCCGCCCCTGGCAACACCCTCACTCACACTGCTAAAATTAAAGTGTCCCTCTTTGTCCATTTGAAATGTTGGGAGTTATGGTGTTTAGATATAAAAGTTGTTTGTAGCATTGTGATTCACTTGTACACTAAATAATATTGTATATTGTATTTCTGTGGACACCATCATGGTTATTTACTAACAGGTGAATTGTCAGAAATTGGTCGGTATATTTCAAATTTTAGTTAAAAATAGTTAATTGGTAAGTACATTTCTCCAACTGTGCTCTGTTTCCAACAAATGTTTGCTTTAAAATTGAAATTCCTTTCACAGGTTGTTGATTAATTCATACCTTTGGGAGGTATGCAATTGGGATGGGGGGAAGGGGATCCTGAGGGGCATTGCCAGTGATGTGGCTTACATTACGGGGGACACCCATAATGGGCAGGTCCACCCAAGAAAGGGCCTCTCTGGCCATACGCTTACCTCTTACCAAAGGACTAAGCAGAGAGCGCTGCTAAAGTGCTCTTTATATTGTCCTAGTGCTCACTTCTCAGTGCGAGCGTGTGCTAATGATGTGCTTGGACACCAGGAACTAAACTGGGATGGTGGACAGGACCCTGAAATCATCACTGTCCTGCCAAAAATAGAGGCTGTTGGGAAGCATGTTACCCCGACAGTGAGTTCTAGTAAATTATAAATAAAATTGCAGAACTTGGACAAAAATTGCTGATTTGAGAAAACATGTCCAACACTGTATTTAGGAATTGGTTTTATAATTGATAAACCCTATTAGAACATTTATAGAGTCATATTAGTGTGTTTTATGGCTGTATAGCTCAGCTTATTCATACACTATGCACATTAATTGCTGTGAGGTTTACTGCTGTTATACACACACATACACTGCATATTATTGTGAGGTCAGTAATACACTAATACACATTGCACATGTTCGGAACTCTGAACAGACTGTCAGGAGGTGGCCTGATATCATAGCCCCTCTCTCCTTCAGTGGGCTCAGCCTGCAGAAATACTGTTCCTTCATGTGCAAGTGTGCAGTCACTATTATAAATAGCGATATACTAAATGCAAGCACCATCTTTGCCATGGTTTTCAGGTAACTGGCTGTTGAGGAATTGCTATCGCCCTCTGGCTTCTCTGCATCCCCACCCCAAACCACCACTGGTATTCTGTAGTATCAATAGGTGAGCTACCGAATTCACCAGCTGATGCTAAGTGGCTTGTCTCCTGACAAATTGCTGTTCTTGTCAAATGGTTAATGGATCACTATAGTGTTAGGACTATAAATCTGTATTCCTAACACTATATAGTGTCCCTCTGCACTCCACTCCTTCACCTCTCTTGTTGTAATTATAGGGAAAAACACAGTTTAAAACATTCACCCTTGAAGGCAGACTGAAGTGGTTATGGTGTTTTATACCGGCTCCTAACATTTCAAATGGACAAAGAGGGACACTTTAATTTGACGGTCATGGAGGGGCGTTGCTTAGCGCTTGAGCTGCACGGTCACATGCCGGAGTAGCTCCCGCCGCTCAAGACACAAGGGGCACTAAAACAACCGGGCTACCGAGCGCCAGCAACAGCAGACAAACATCCACCATGTCCCAGAGATTAAAAACTAAGCCCACGAAGGCGGACAAAGCGTCCTTTTTCCAGGTAAAAGCCACACTGCAAAAAGCGCGGGAAGATGGCGAACAAGATGGCGGCCCGCCACAATCGCGGGAGGGCTCTCCTACATCCCCAGCCTCCCCAGAAACAAATACTGAAGACCAGCCACTCACAGTGGCAACTATGAGAGGTATGATGGCAGAGCTCACAAATACAGTATCGAGGAGCCTTAAGGCTCAAATGCTGACACTGACAACCGAACTTAGGAAAGACTTGCAGGACATAGGGACCCACACTGTGCATCTAGAATCTAAGATGGATGATTTTTCCACGGCTCATAACAGTGTGGCTGATAAAATGCAAGAACTGGAAGACGTCATTACAGCTCAAAAACTCAAGCTAGCAGACCTGGAAGATAGGTCTAGGAGGAACAACCTCCGATTTAGGGGGATACCAGAATCAGTAACAAATGCTGACCTAGAAACGTATTTGCAAGACATGTTCCAACAGATGACCCCCGAACTGCACCCGGACCAACTGCTGCTGGACAGAGCGCATCGTCTCAGGAGACCTAGCCATCTACCCAACACGGCAGCGAGAGACGTCATAGCAAGAGTACACTTCTTCCATGCCAAAGAAAGAATTATCAAGGGAAGCAGAAATAGAGGGATGCCAGAGAAATTCTCCAACATCAAAATCTTCTCCGACCTCTCGGCAGAGACCTTACAATACCGCAAATCCGTGGCACAAATCACGCTATCACTGCGAAACCAAGGAGTAAACTACAGGTGGGGATATCCGGCCAAGCTGCTAATTTACCACGAAGACTCCCTCCACTCCAGCACATCAGCGTCGCAAGGCATAAAGCTGCTCAGAGACTGGGGAATCCCGCTGGCAGAGCTACCAAAAACAGGCCTAACGAAAGTTCCCCGTCTGGCCCAGGATTGGGCATCCCGCTAAAGAGACTACATAACCGTGCGGTATACGTAAGACACATAACCAAATTGTCAGTTATCTTGTTGTATTTATTACTATGTTAATCCATATTTTCTTATCTTAATGTTACACTTGGGAAGCACGTGGGTAAATGCCGGGGCCCCCGACCTCCTCCCATGCCAACTAGACAGGCACACAACGAGATATATTCTCGGTTAGACCACGACACTGTCCAAACACCAAAGGTTGGGGAGTCGGGACACTGGAGGCCCACAGGCATAGAGGTTAAAGGAAAGAGAGAGAGAAAGAAGGAAGGGGAAAAAAAAAAGCCATGCAACGCAGACTAACTATACCAGCACCCATGGTGCCCCAGCATGTGCTTGTCACAGGGACACACTCCTCAACGGAAGTCCCAACACCACCACCCCCCTAGACTGCGTGCGACCCTTGGGCGCCGCAAAAAGGCTCGACCCAGAGGAGCCTCTCAGGGCTATGCCCTCTGTTCCCCCCTCCCTCATACATATGGAAACGACGCAAGGACAACAGTTAAAAGTTGACCTTACCCCGTACCCCTCTTGCCTCCATATCACTTCTTGCAACAGACATCCACACCGAACTGTCACATAAAGGCATCCACCAAAATATTGTGTGTAAGGAAGAGAGCGTAATTCTACAGACACAGGTACCATCACTAGTGTCCCCAAACACAACCACACCAATATGAGAATAGTGTCTTATAATGTTAAAGGATTAAACTCCCCGGGAAAACGCAGGTTGCTTTTACAAGACCTCAAGAAAAACTCGGTAGATATCGCATGCCTCCAAGAAATGCACTTTAGACACCCCATAGCCCCATCTCCTTTCACAAAACTATACCCCATACAATATCATGCCCTATCGGAGACAAAGACAAAAGGGGTTGCCATCTTAGTGCATAAAGACATCGCCTTCACACTGCAAAGCAGTTACATAGATCCCAAAGGGAGATACATCATAGTGGTAGGGCTCTTCAATAATACACAATACACCATAGGCGCAGCGTACTTCCCGAATGACAATCAAGCCTCTTTTCTCAAAGCACTTCTGTCCAAACTAGATACATACAAACAAGGAGGGCTCATACTGGGAGGAGACTTTAACTTCATCCAGTCCCTGACCTTAGACACTACTGCTTTGCCACAGGGAAAGCGCAAAAAAGGGACCCAAGCCCTCTGCAAAACTCTCACCAACACCTTGACCTTGTACAACTTATATGATAGCTGGCGAACACTACACCCTACAGACCGGGATTACACTTTCTACTCAAGGGTCCACAACACATACACACGTATAGACACATTCTTCATAGATAACAAGACCCTGCCATAATTGACAGACTGTAGGATAGGAGAGATAATGTGGCCAGATCACAGTCCAATCTATCTTGACTTGGAAGATACATATCAATCCCGAGGCAGGGGCACATGGAGACTATACAAGTCCCTCCTACTAGATAAACCGTTCGTAGTACGCATGAAGATAGAGCTCAGTGAATATTTCCTTGCTAATACAACAGGCGAGGTCACAGACTATACAGTGTGGTCCGCACATAAAGCGGTGATGAGGGGCCAGTTCATCAGGCAATCAGCGTACATAAAGAGACGACACCAAACCACCCTCCTAGAATGCCACAAACAAATAGCGATAAACACAGCCCAAAACAAGAATGCACCCACGGCAGCCCTAGCAGACAAATTAAGAGGTCTGTATCAGGACCTTACTGAGCTCAACGCCCAAAAGACCCAATACTTTCTACATAGACTACGAGCCACCACATACCACCACAGTGGCAAGGCATCTAAATACTTGGCCAATAGACTCAGAGCTAAGCAGGCTGCCAATAGAATCCCACACCTCATAGGGCACACAGGAGACAAACTCATGAACCCCATGGACATAGTGCAGGAATTTGCACACTTTTACAAACAGCTATATAATCTAGACTCAAGTGGTGGCGCAACAGCACCAGAAACACAATCTATTCGCAGTTATTTACAGGGTATTGAACTCCCCAAATTAGACCAAAATTCAGTGAGCGCCTTACTCGAACCGATCTCCATACAGGAGATCCGGACGGTAATTAAGAGTCTGCCCTCGGGCAAATCCCCGGGTGCAGATTGCTTCTCAAACAGCTATTACAAGACATTCATAGATATACTAACCCCACACCTGCTCAAGGTATACCACACAGCGACAGAAACAGGATCCCTCCCCCCTGAAATGCTGGTGGCCACAATAGTAACGCTCCTGAAACCAGATAAGCCTACAGACAGCTGCAAAAATTTTAGACCTATCTCCCTCCTTAATACAGACGCTAAGATATTGGCCAACTGACTGGCACACATCCTCCCAACTATCATAGGAGACGACCAAACAGGCTTCATCAAGAGCAGGCAGGGTAGGGACAATACTAGAAAACTTTCCTTGGTGCTGGAAAAACGGAGGGGATCGGGACAGGGTGGGCTTTTACTAGCCCTCGACGCCGAAAAGGCGTTTGACCGATTGAATTGGTCATTTCTCGAACACACACTTCTAAAATACGACATCCCCACCAAATTTATCAAACAGATATTTGCCTGGTAAATGTTCCCCACGGCCCGAGTGCTACAAGCCGGCTTCCTCTCAGACCTGTTCCCCCTGACAAATGGTACGAGGCAGGGATGCCCTTTATCGCCGCTATTATACGTCCTGGCCCTAGAACCACTACTAGTCCAAATTAGGAATCAGGAGGGTATCAAAGGAATAGAGCTAAACAGCAGGGAAATTAAAATTAGTGCATTTGCAGACGACATCCTCCTCTGTGTCACTGAACCTGAACAGTCGACCCCACTCATTTTAGATCTCATCAGGGAATATGGGAAGATATCTTACTACTCTCTCAATGCCAGCAAGACACAGGCGTTGGGAGTGCGGCTTAACCAACAAACCCTGACTGCCCTCAAAGAGAACCACCCTTTTGAGTGGAGAACAGATACAATAAAGTATCTAGGACTGACCTTCACGAAAAACCCTACAGAGACCTTCTCGGCCAACTATGTTAAGGTGGGAGGAGACTGCCGTCAATTGATGAAGAAATGGGGCACAATGTTTCTGACCTGGACAGAGAGAGTAGCAACCATCAAAATGTCCATACTCCCTAGGCTCCAATACTTATTTTGCAACCTACCGATCCAGGTACCCGCATCCTACCTCCAAGAAACACAAAAGGACATTAACATATTTGTGTGGGGGAGTCAAAAGGCCCGGGTAAAGGGAACACTGCTACGAGCACCAGCGAGACAGGGTGGCCTAGCCTTACCGGACATTAAGACATACTACCAAGCAGCAATGCTGGCAGCACTTCTTCCCCATTTCACAAACACAACTATACCGCAGTGGGTGCAATTAGAAAAACTAGCGATTAAGCCCTTTGACGTACCCACCCTACTGTGGCTTCCAAATCGGTTTAGACCAGAAGTGCCACAGATGCCAACACAGATAAAAACAGCAATAAACACTTGGGACAAGATCCGACACAAACTAACATCCCACACTCTACTATCACCGGCCACCCCGCTCAACACTATCACGTATTGTATCCCAACCTTCAATGCAAAGCCTTGGATAACAAATGGGGTCACACACCTGTACCAAATGCTCATACATAACAACCCCCGCTTCTATTCTGTAACCGCCCCCTCCCCCCCACCAGTTTCATGCTTTATGTTTGATATTTATGTTTATGACATTTGAATGACAAAATCAATAAAAGACTTTAAATGGAATTTGACGGTCATGAGTGGGGGTGTGGCCAGGGGAGGGGAAGGGGCACATTTAAGTGATTGACTAATAAGTTATGCAACTAAAATGTAATTTAGAAGAAGAACATTGTATCCTATTTACACAGGCTGATTTCTAAACACACTTGTAATTTAAAGACACATCGTTGTGAGTGTTATTGCTGTGGAGCTCTGTTATACACTCAGACACACCAACAGTGTGGAGCTCTTATAAAAGAGGGACATTAACAGGAGTATTTACTAAAGTGAGAATTCAAAGTGAATTTCACATTTAAGGCCAGAATAGTCTAACAGGAAAAATTATCTTAGTCAGATATGGTTTCAGTTTGGTTATTCTGGCCTTAAATTTTAAATTCACTATGAATTCTCATTGTGGGCTCAAACAGAGACTGTCCATCCTAAATAGAGACAAAACAACTAGCTTACATTGGGGCTTCACTTAGTACTTGTATTGACATCATTAAAATTGTAGAATCCTTTCTTTCTAAACGATGGTGGGTAGCAGTTACCTGCGGTGTTTTTTTTAGCGATGCAGCTTTGCAGGAATGCACTTTTATCACGCAATGTTATGTAGTGTTTACAGGTGTTTCATTTTGTGAAAGAATATAAGGAAGGGCCATGTTTAGTGCAGCTGAAAGTCTAGTCCTGCCTCCTCTGTTTCTTGGCACACGTTTCCCAACTCCCACAAGGATTATACAGTCTGTAGCAGATGTGCAATTAACGAGAAGCATGAAGGTAAAATGTCAGAGGGCTATGCAAGGTCAAGGACATTACCTCGTCATGTTAATTTTTATTTCATATCCTTTTACTGTTCTGCACTCAAAACTCATGTAAGCTGATTTATTCTGCCTACAAAGAGGCAGCTAATTAGTTATACCTACACACTCCTCTACGTCTTTTTATCTACCTGTTTAGAGGCACACACACTCTTTTTCTGTCTATCGCTCTTGCTATTATTTATAATGTACCAGTATATGCTGTAATGCTACATGAAGGGGTTACAGTGCCATATGGGCAATTTTTTTTTGTGAGGCCCATACCTAGAGATACAATTTACTGCTGTCAGTCCTCTTTTACGAAACATGTTTTTGCTGAGGTTATCATCAAATCCACTTTACAAATGTTTATAAAAGGGATGCACTGAAATCCAATTTTTATTTTTCCGATTGAATACATGGATGTCGTGGATTAATTGATTCAAATACACTGTAATATGTGTATGAATGTCTTCAAATTCTTCATATGGCATTTCATGAAATGGACTTTTGAAGCACCATAACCGCATGCTGCCGCTCCGGGCTTAGCTCAGACCTAGAACGCTTGGTCCTCGCTCCTTAACCACTACCGTGCACTGTATTGCTGTTGTACTAGGATAGTTAAAACAGGCTTCAGTGTTATATATCATTTATATTTAAAAAATAAAATAAAAATAGGTTTAGCATTTCTTTAATTTTAGGAGATCATGATTTACAAGTCCTGGCCTGCCCAAGAAGATAGGTGGGAGATGCCATATTTGCAGCTGCAATCTTTAAACCAGACTCTTTCCTCTTACTGATACACCAGGACTACATGGAGAGACTGATCAAGTGTGATTCTTTCTTCTCAGCATCTCTCCTGGAATATCACCTAGAAATTAAACTCTCACCAATAATAAACCGACTGGCACGTTTAGGGTCATACATTGCATGGCGTGGCATTAAACCTTTTATTACAGTAAAACAAAGTCCCCGCTCCTTTTTTTTTTTTTTTGCACAAGACCCTTTGTGACTAAAAAAATTCTACTGAAGAATTAGTAGTTCACGTAATAAGAACCCTAATTAGATAATTTAGAGAGTCTACCAAGGAAGCCACCCTTTTATTTCCAGATATTTTTTATTATTATATGAAATGTTGTAAAACCTTAATGGATAAATAAGAGAGGGAAAAAGTGACTGCCATTCTTGTTATAAAGACTTGAGTACACACTATCTAAAAATGAAACCATAAAACTAACCGTTTCAATCATAGCATACTAATCCAGTCAAAGGGATTTCAAGTGGTCATAGCACCTGGAGTCCGTATGTGCCGCATTTCACGATGAAACACTGCACATGGAGAGCTTTACCCTATTGCTGTCGGAGGTATAACACCATCTTTGTCAGCTTCAATAGCGGATAAAAAGTGTTAGACTGGGTTACAATGACCAAACACAGTTTCTTTAAGTAACCCTTTAAATGGATATTATAAGCACCAAAACAACTTCTTAGCTTAACCCCTTAAGGACACATGCCATGTCTGACATGTCATGATTCCATTTTATTCCAGAAGCTTGGTCCTTAAGGGGTTAAAGAAGTTCTGATGTATTGATCATGCTGCTGCAGTCTTCCGCTCCATTCTCTGCCATTTAGGAGTAGAATAACTTTTAGAAGTTTTTATCCCCTGCTCTGTTAATTGAATTTTAATCATGTACAGGAGGCTCTAGCAGGCGAACAACAGATCAGAATATCAGATCTTCTAAATTAAACACTTTGTGCAATAAGGGTAGCTAAAAACTTACTCTTTCAGAAGGTTTGTAGGCAGGGTGTGATAGCCTCAGCCATGGGAGTTGTGGCTATGGCTGCGTAAACAGTGAGAAAGCAATTTAACTCTTAATTGGTAGAGAATTGAACAGTGAGACTGCAGGGGTATGATCTATACCCCAAAACATCTTCATTAAGCTAAAGTTGTATGTTAACCCATTACGCTCGATTATGGGTGCCATTTTCAGATCTTATTGTATTCCCTCTTTGTGTTATGTACAGTAAAGTCTGTGTTTTGCACTTCTTTAAGTTACACTAAGACACTGTCTCCCATATTGTGGGGATGGTTAGACTTGACCAGTTTCTGGGAAGACCTAATTTTAAACTTGGATTACATGTTTACTGGATTCTGTCAATGAAATCATGTCTTGCTTCATTGATAGAATTCTGGGTTCAGATCAGTATTTTATATAGAAACACTAGTTGTGTACTCAACATGTTACTTTCCCTAATATCATCAGGTACAGGGAAACAAGTGCTAGTAAAGGTGCACATATGCATATTCACTGTGAGCACACATGAACATATCAATGCAGGCCACGTGATCTAAATTGAGATGCTCATCACTCCATTGGATTGAGCACAGCTCTTCATAGTAAATCCAGTGGTTCTGAGACTGAACCGTATCACTACATGTAGAATGGAAGCCAAGGATGGTGCATCATAAAAAAGGACAGATCAAGGGATTGTTTAGCCCCTTTCTTAGTACCCAAAATGGCAGCCTGTAATATTGAACATGAATCCAAATTATATTTTGATTAATATGCCCATGAAAATGTATATTTAGGGTCAACATTTCCTTTCATGTTCAGACCTTCCAATAAAGATACTTATTTCACTCTAGGATGTTAAAGCAAACTCAAAGTAAGTTATAACCTCAACAGTTTATACATTTATTTCCTATAATAAATACATTCACTCACTCACTCTGCTGACAGAAACATTATTTTTAAAGATGTAGTTACGAACAAATTCTCCAGCAATTTACAGTAAATCTTAGATAATGACATGACAGAAAGCAGGTGCTATCTTAAAAAGAAACTAAATACATTCTTAAATATTGTTGGATACTTTTAAATATTGTATAGCCATGATATAGGTGAAAGCTAGCCATTTTATCACATACAGAGCAAATGGCTTTAACTACAAAAATGCTAGTGGAATATGATTTACATTATGTGGACCCCACTGATCACATTGACAGGGTCTCAAATATATATATCCGCCTATTCTGTTTTGATTATATTTAATCTATCTTTGACAAGTCAGACACTCTGATCCCTATTATCTGAATTCAGGTTTTGTTAAAAAGCATTGGAAAGGGATTATGGGTAATTTTGCACATACATCTTTTGATGTATTGTGTGGATGCATTGAGGGAGTCTGTGATGACTGAGCCTGGAAAAAGTTCTGCCTGACACTTGGTTTTATTTTATTCTGTTTATTGCCTTATATGGCTTATATTAACTGTACATTGCGAGGACACCAAACTTGGTAAAGGAGTGTGAGAATTGTGTCTGTACAGTGTTATACCCCACTCTGTGAAGCAGACCCTCTGAAAGCCAGACATTGCACAGGATTCTCTGAGTAAAATAGCGTGTGCATTATGTGGGAAATGATGGTCACATGGAGAGCTGCCTTCACCTGTGGTTATGAATGTACGAATACTGTGAAACTTAGCAAGAAATTACTCCATTATGTATTAAATTTCCAGCCCCACCCCCAGCGCCAGGCAACCATCCCCCCCCCCCCCTCGTCTTCTGAATGGGGCCCATCTCTATTATTTCACATGGCTGCACACATTGACAAAAGGTCAGAGGTCGTGCCTGAGTGTACACAGGCCATGCTGAGAAGCACAGGCCAGATCCCCCTTCCATGCCCCCCTCTTTACATAATGTGGACCTGGGCTGTTTAACCCATTGTATCAGCCATGTTGCTTTAGACACAGAAAGTTCATCAATATTTCACTGTCCTGATAGGTGGTACAGCATTAAACCTTTATTTTTATGCAGTGAAAGAAGAAAGGACATGTCAGTGTTGGTAGACCATATTTATTAAGGCAGGCATCCCAAACATGTAACCCTCTTCCATTTAATTTACAACATTTAATGCAGTTTTGGCATGGTTATGGTGAGAGTATTTTGGCAATGTGTATGTTCTGAAACAGCTCTGGGTCTTTCTGATTGCTAAATGGCAGGACTTTGGGGATTATTTGATCCCCAGTCTTGGAACTTTGGCCATTACATCTTTACCATTTTTATTATTATTATTATTATTGGCATTTATATAGGGCCAACAAATTCCGTAGCGCTTTACAATATTATAGGAGGGGGAGATATAACTATAAATGAGACAATTACAAAAACTTACAGGAACAATAGGATGAAGAAGAGCCTGCTAAAACGAGGTGGTGGGGTTTAAAACACAATAGGACAGGAGATAGCAATCAAAGAAGGTGGGAGTGAGGCAGGAGGAGAAAGTAAAGTGCTGCCCTTTAGGAGAGAGAGCAAGAGACAGGTATGTGAGGTAGAGGTTAGTCTGGGAGGCCATAAGCTTTCCTGAAGAGATGTGATTTAAGGCACTTTTTTAACAATTGAAGACTAGGGGAGTGTCAGATGGTGGTAGGCAGGCTATTTCAAAGGAAGGGAGCCGCCCGCAAGAATTCCTACAAGCGTGAGCTGGCCTTATGGGTGCGAGCAGCAGACAGGAGATGGTCATGGACAGAGCGGAGAGACCGTGAAGGGGCAAACTTATGGATCAGTGAAGAGATATAGGAGGGGCTAGAATCGTTCAATTCTTTATAGGTATGGATTAGTACTATGACCACAGTGCCGAGGTACACAGGAATTAGTGGTCTCTGCTTGGGATTGGGTCTTGGGGAGATCCCCCTTAAAGAGGTATTTACTTTTATCCCTCAATTAGCCCAATGACGTATGTCTTTCCTCTACTTACCTGTTTTTTTCTATTCTTTAGCTTTGATTTAATGTATGAATTGACTTCTATAGGATACAGGAAACCAATGTAAGGACTGAAAGAGGGGTGAGGTGTGAGAAGAGCGACTGGAGAGGAAAATCAGTTTGGCAGCAGCACTCATTACAGACTGTAGCGGGGTAATGCGGTTTCTGGGAAGACCAATTAGGAGAGGGTTATAATAATCCATGCAAGAGATTACTAGAGTATGGACAAACTCCTTAGTAGTATCTTGCTTAGAAAGGGGCGGATGCGGGCTATGTTTTTAAGGTTGTATTGACAGGATTTGGTGACAGACTGGATGTGAGGCTCAAAGGTGAGGCCAGAGTCAAGTATAAAGCCAAGACAGCGCGTTTGCAAGGATGGGCTAATGTGTGTACCACCAACTTGAAAGGAGAGCGAAAGAGGAGGACCAGTATTAGGAGGAGGGAAGACAAGGAGCTCAGTTTTAGAGAGATTGAGTTTCAGAAAGCAGGTGGATATCCAGTCAGAGATGGAACAAATTTTGAGAACTCACTCATTCAAATAAGGGATCACATCTTGAGTTTCCAGATAATGGTGATTACATGACACCTCTCAAAACATTTTAAATTGAACATAGATTTTATATACTTTGTGTTTTCAAATGTGTGTATAATTAAGAAAAAAAAAAGTGTTTTCTATCTTTAAATGGACACTATACACACTTACACCACTTAATCTCAATGAAGTAGTCTGGGTGCAGTGCCCCTGGTGTTGGTGCCGTGCAATGTAAAACACTGTCGTTTAGTAGATATGGTAATGTTTACATTGCAGGAGAAGTGAGCAGCTGCATCGAGTGAGTCATGGCACTGGCAAATTAATAGAATTAAAATCCTTTTTATTTTTAAAAATGTTTAATTGGGAGAGGGCCTGAATCTAAACAGTAAGAAGAAAACTATAGCATTATGTGTTTTTATTCCTAATGCTATAGTGTTCCTTTAAATCTAAGTTATATAGGAATCAGTGTATATGAGGGCTTGACAAATCCTTGGTGCTGGATTTCTTTGATGACGCTGAAATGAGACGTGACTGAGAGATTTGGACCCCTGAAGCTGTCTCTGCTGTGGTAGAAACAGCTCACTGCCCACTTTAGAGTGTGCTCCCCACTGCCAAAATAAGTCAACAGCAAGGGGAGGGAGAATTAAATCTATTACAAGTATGTGAGTTTGTCATAGTCAGAATAACTGAGAAAAGAAAAAAATCTTATATGTAATTCTTTCAAAACATGCTACACCTACAGTCCAGTCTGCCAAACACACTCAGTATAGATGTTGCTACTCCTACAAATTTTTGTGAAGCTGCTGAATTCACCTTTAGATAATTTTGTAACATCTTCCTAAGATAACATTTCCAATATTACACAGGTTTTAGCAGTATATATAATAATTTCCAGATTGTATCCCTTTAATTGCCTAAAATAATCCCGGATTGCTGTTTGTTCTGCTGTTCCCTTAGTAATTTGAGATTATAGTTCTTGTTCTGACTCCTGTTGCAGCCAGTATTAATTCTATGCCTCTAGCTTCCAAGTTGGAATGTAGACAAAAACTTTGCACCTTAACACCCTGATATGCTGAGCCATTCCATTATTAGTAAGAGATCACCTTTGATGGCAATCTATTTTAAGGTAAATTGCTGTCATTATGCTTTCTGCCTGTTGGACAGGCAGGCATCTAATAGCATTTCCTTTCTCCAACATGTTTGTCATGGAGTATATGGTCACTTGTTTGGAATTCAATGCCTCATTCCCTCAAGTATGTCTGTGCTTCTTCTTTAGTCTAGTTTTGTGCTGGCCATGGCTACGTTTTCCTCTTCTTCAGCATCTGATTTTTGTGCTTCATGTCAGATGTCATGGTGTATCATTGGTCCGCACATTTCACTTTGTACAAGATCCACTGCTATTTGGAAGTGGAATACTTGTAGTCTTAAAGTCGGCAGAACCAATAGGCGAAGAAGGCCTTCACCTATTGATTGTAAAACAAGCTTACAATCTAAAAGCTGACTAGCATTTATCTCACCAGAGTTTTATACAAAAAAATAAAAAAGATAAGTTGAGCCTGGGTGCCTTGCACCCTGTGTAACATTGTTACAGACCCTGGACAACCATAAATTTATTGACAATGCCAGTGGTTTCTTATACATTTGTACTGTCTCCTGTTGCGATAATATTACGATATATATATAGTATATTCTTTTCTTTTTTTTGAATCTTTATTTATGAATTTAGTGACATAAAAATGTAAATATACAATATGATAAATTGCATTCATAATCATATAAGTGGAATAAATCAAAACAGGTGTAACAATTCACGAAACATAATCTCAGAGAAGGTATTACGAGTTGTTGATTAGTTGGACATTTCTGTCGGACTACACTGATTATGTAGAAGTGACAGGTTAAGAGAACATCCAATTATGACAACAATAATAAACTCTTTTAATGGACTGGCTAGTTATTTATCAAAAACCAGAATGGTGAATACAAACTGTACTCATTTAAACCAATATATAGCAGGTAGATGCCATTTCAGTGACTTCATCTTAGATATTTGAGTGAATTGATTTGAGATATAACTGGGGGGATTTAGTATGGTGGGATAACACAGGGAGAGGCCAACTAGGAACATTAAAGGACCACTATAGTGCCAGGAAAACATACTCGTTTTCCTGGCACTATAGTGCCCTGAGGGTGCCCCCACCCTCAGGGTCTCTCTCCCGCCAGGCTGGATGGAGAGGACGGGGTTAAACTTACCTCTTTCTCCAGCGACGGGTGGGGAGCTCTCCTCCTCTTCGGCTGAATGCGCATGCGCAGCAGGAGCTGCGCGCGCATTCAGCCAGTCTATAGGAAAGCATTCACAATGCTTTCCTATGGACGCTTGCGTCTTCTCACTGTGATTTTCAGTGTTAACCCTAGCTGGACCTGGCACCCAGACCACTTCATTAAGCTGAAGTGGTCTGGGTGCCTATAGTGGTCCTTTAACCTTTTGCAAGTTCACTGTAGGTGGGAAAGGCTTAAGTGGAGGGAGAGTATAATGGAGTAGGGTACATAAGGTGACATCCCATGATGGAGGAACAAAGAGAAGATGAAAGACAGAGTAGAGAAAGAAAACATGGGCTATCAAGAATGGATTATTGGAATTATGGGATGATGTTTTTTTTTAAATCCCATTTTGCAAGTCTCTTCATGATTTCTGAGTTTCAGACTCTTCATTGTCAGTGCCACAGGGGAGTACACTTATTTGCAATGTTTGTTACGGTTTTAGATTACTCATTGTCTATGGAAAGTTTATCTAAGTACTTATGGACAATTCGTTTTTTCTAGGATTTTCACCCTTTTTTTAAATTGTGCATTATTTTTCTTGGATTACACTGGGAGTCCGTTGTTAGCCTAATGTGTCAGTGCCAGAAGATTTGGAACACATGATGCATTTTTTCAGGCATCATGTGACTATCACCAATGCGGCTCTCTAGCTATTTATTTCTGGTGCGATGCTCTTCCCATCAGCTAGGAAGACTTCATTCTTTGAATAATAATTTATTACTTGGTATAGTGACTTTGGTGCATTGAATCTACTTTGTTTTTCTCTTTCTCTTAACAAGGTGAAAACATTGCAGTTTCAGAGCAGTGTCAGTGTTTACATTTGGCCAAAAACACGGTTGTCGTGGCAGTGAGACAGGTAGCCAACTGATACACTTCTTTCTTTAAGACCTTTGATTTTCAAAGGACAGTGTGTTGGGAACAGATGTAATGAGGTTCTTTTTCAGCGCTGCCTGCAAGGAGAAGCCTTGGTCTTGCTACCTCCTTGCTTCCCTACATTGATAGTTTTTTTTTTTGTTTTTTTTTTTTTAAATATTCCCTCCCCTTCCCAGCTCATAGCTATCAAATTATTATCTATGAGAAGCACTGGGTTGGTTCACAAGGTGGCATAGACAGTTACTGGATGACATAGACATGTTATGTTACCATTATGTTTATACTTTATTTGCAGGATAACAAGGTTGTTTCGAGTGTCCCTCTAAAAATTTTGCAGGAAGAGTGGAACATTTGAAATAAACAAGTTATTTAAAATATCAGGAAATATAACCTGCTGTAGGTCACCTCTAGATAGTAAGCTTATTTGAGCCAGGTCCTCATGAACCTATTGTTCCTGTAACATTTTGTATTTGTCTTATTTATTGTCAATTTCCGCCCTTTAATATTGTAAAGCGCAGCGGAATAAGTTGGTGTTCTATAAATGCCAATAATAATAGTTAATTAGTTCCTGCTGTGCTTGCCCTTTCACAATGTCATATGGGGTGAATACTCTATTTATAAACTATTTATTTTTGTGAAAGAAAACTAAATAAATAAAAAGTAAAGAAGAAATGTTGTATTAATGAGTTTGACCCAAAGCCAGCCTTGGTTTTAACATTCATTCAGTCAATTTCTAGTAGTGAACGTGTGTGCATTGGTCTGTCACATGTTGTCTGCCACAATTAGACTTGTGTAAATAACAATGAAATATCTCAGACTCTGCCCCATACAAGGCCTCAGTGTGTTTGCACACACAAAGCAGAGACAAAGGAAACATCTTTTGCAGTACTACATAATTTACTTTCCAACAGGCACATCAGGAAATAGCAGAGATGTCAAAGAGCAATTTTACCCTCTCTCCCTATTCAAATTAGAGCAGTCCTGTGGCAGGTGCTCCACAGGATTTCTTGCTGGCCCTCCTATGATAGTTCTTTTGTTTTATTTGTTGTGGCTGTCATAGTATCATATGTCATATCATCACAGGTAATTCCCGTCTTTGAAAATCTCGAACAAACAATTGGTGCTACAGTTATACAGAATGATGTGATTTAATTTGCAGTGGAAAATGTATTACTTTATAAAGATCTAACAATCTGGAGTTCTAAAAAAAACAACACACCAAAAACATGAAAATATTTGGTTATATATATATACATACATACATACATACTCATTCTCTCTCTCTCCTACCTGGGTGCAAGATTTTAGCAGTAATAGCATACACTGAGAGGCCCAACAAAGATGCTGGAATTATATATTGAAATATCTGCACAGAATATGGGCTGGACCTGCCACAGTCCATATGGGAGATACCACAAAGGATAGCTGAGAATGACAGGGCTAAGATCCTCTGGAGAAATAAGTAACCTGCAGTTGCATACCATGTGTGGCCATTGGTTCAGATGGAAGCAAGCAGAGGCGGTAGCATCAGATCCCCTGCTGGTAGTAAAAGTGCTTTAGCTAATTCTGATCAGCATGACTTCTCAGACTCCCTTTGTAATAATATGTGACATAGGAGGAGAAAATAACTCGCATACCTACCTTCCACACATCCCGGCATTCACATACACACAGGTACTTCATGGTGAAGATACATTGCTTAAAAATGTTTTTGAGGACAAGACAATGAGACAGCTGTTAGTGGAGGAAATTGTCTGGTATATAAACAATCACTATATCTGCAACATGCAGCTGAGTGGAGAGATTTAATAATGGTTTATTTCAGAATGGGAAATGACATGAAAGAAAATCACTTTTGGATTTTAGATACAATATACTAGCATACATTTGCACACACTATAGAAGTGAAGTTTAAAGGAACACAACAGCTTATGGTACCTGTAGTAACCTGGCACCATGCCACTATCACTCACCAAACCATTTTAGTACGATTTGACAACTTACCTGAGTGCCTCCAGGTCTTCCATCCTAATATGGCTTGACTACTTACTGTGGGAAGGTGACAGGGCACTCATGTCACCATAACAACTACAGTTGGCTGCTGTGATTATGGTGCTTGGAGTATTCCTTTAAGCAATGACCAAAATATAGTGGGATGCAAAAATCAGCATGGGGTAAGATGAGAAAATCTTTGTATTACAGATAGCATGAAATCAGAATTTGTTTTAGAAATAGCATGCAATACATTTGTTTTACAGATAGCATACAAATTAGAATTTGTTTGTATCTATCCTAATTTTATTATAAAGCACTTTGGATAATGTTGGCGCTTTCTATAATGAAATGCAGTTGTCTGGAGTTTTAGTCTGTTTAAAGTACTTTGAGCAGTGAAAGATACAAGAGCCCCCAAGGTTGGCTTCCTCAGAGACACCTCCATCCTGAATTCTGATCAGTTTACTTTTAAACTGGCATGTTACTTAATAGTGTGAGAAGAATTAAAAATTAATTTCAGATTTTAGTTCAAACTAGGTAAAATGACAAAATTTCCAACTCAGCTATGTTTCCAGACTAGTCATGCCCACCTAAAATTTGAACTTCACTCTGAATTTACAATTCTCATTTAAGTGAATAATCCTGCTAACCTTACCATGCATCGTGGAGTAGTTCTTCAAGGGATCCAGGCTGCCAGTAATGATGGAGAGATGTTATAACAAGGTCCACCTGATATGACATTGGAGATTAGATTGTAACCCCATAGGTGGCTGAAGAACAAGAAATTGTGGTTTCTGTACTCTCTTCCAGCTTATTGTCCTTTATACATCCCTGCACCTCCACCGAAATAAGTCTGACATGGGTAACACTGTTTTAAGATGATCTTGAGATGTCTGAACTGTTTAATAGTTTATTATCAAAAATATAATGCTCAATGGTACTTAGAAAAGGGAACATTAAATGAACTTACATAAATCAATTAGCAAAGAAGTCCATGCTTTTAGCTTTGATCATGGCAGTCTTGTAGGAAGTGGGTAGAACTGTAGTGAGTTTATTGTCAAGTCAGTTGCTGAGTTTATAGATGGTTGGGTCTGGTAATGTATGCCTGCAAGCAAACTAAGAGGGATATGCTAAGGATTTTGAGTGGCCCTAAGTTGACCTTGCCACCTCTCTTAGCTGCTGCCTCGCCTGCCCTGTGGGTGATCCAGCTCTACCCAGCTGTTTATCTCACTGTGGGCAGACATCATTATATGCTCAATAAATTATGTAACTAGGACACTTTGATGGAACCTGAGAAGTCCTGTCAGCTTCAGATGAATACGTGTGAAGAATGGGTATGACCAGTTATGTATTTTTTACTCCAAATTCATGCTGTTTCTATTTCCCTTAGCAACTAAATGAAGCCCTTGGCTATAATTTAATGGTCATGTAGCCATTTCTGAAGATAGTGACACCTTATCATCTTGCCCATCTTCGCTCCGTAAATGGAATTCTATATTGGACAGCTCCTGTGCATATCCTTGTGTCACCCTTTGAGGAAGAAGACTCAGGCTGTCATTTGTCATTTACTTGTCACCTTGTTATTCTGTGGTAACAGACCTGTGACCGGTCTTGAATATCACGTTGTTTTTGTCTGTGTCTGTTTCACATCGCATAATGAGGGCGAGAACAGCTTTGGCCAAATGTTCTCGTGCCCTGGCAGCAGTGTCATTGTATGGCATGGGACAATTTGTGCTCATGAATTTTAGGGCATTACAGTCAGACTCCACGTGCCAAGCTCATTGTGTGACAGAAACATGCTCTGCTTTAGCCAATGCCAACCCCCTTTGTTGTGTTATCTGGTTTCCTCTGTTGTAGTTATCTGGTCACTTCAACATTTACGGAACCTGAGAACCAAAACATGCCACTTTAATGTCAGAAAAGAAACATCTCTGGTGTAATATGTGTGATTGGGAGGGGGGGTTCTATCCAGATTTCATATAGCCAGCAACCTATTGCAGTGAGACATACCATTTTTATACTTAATTTTAATTTCATTGAGTATTAGCTTTATTATTATTATTATTATTATTTTCTGACTGGTAGGTTTTAACCTTTAGATACTAGTTTAATGTTTTCAGCTACGAAGCAAGTCTAATGGTTTTAGAAATATTTAGTATAGATTGTTATTGAGTTAGTTAGGTATATGTTGGAATGATATAGTTTAAAAATGCAGAGCATCTTTTGAATGATACTCATAAATGCCCATAACTTAAATAGATACTCATAAATGCCCATAACTTAAATAAATAGATACCCGTATTTATCAGCGTATAACACGCACCTTTTCTCCCTGAAAATAGGGGAGAAATTGTGGGTGCGTGTTATACGCCGGCCCTTTAAATACTGCAGCCGCCTGAGCGCTCTGTCAAGAGCGCTCAGGCGGCTGCAGTTGGTACTCACCTCCCCTGTAGCGTGGCCGAGCCGCTCTGCTGTCCGCGGTGGCCGGCCGGAGTGATAGGAAGGTGCACGCTCAGTGTGCCGCGCGGAACAGGAGTTTCTGTTTCCTGTACCCGGTCGGACTGACAGGAAGGTGCACACTGAGCGTGCACCTTCCTATCACTCCGGCCGGCCACCGCGGACAGCAGAGCGGCTCGGCCACGCTACAGGGGAGGGGGTAAGAAGGGGTGAATAGAGGGGAGGGGGGTAAGAAGGGGAAGGGGGGAGGGGAATAAGAGAGGGGAGGGAGTAAGAAGGAGGGAGTGGGGAATAAGAGAGGGGGGAGGGAGTAAGAAGAGGGGAGGGGGGTAAGAGAGGGGAGTAAGAAAGGGGGAGGGGGTAAGAAGAGGGGGAGTAAGAAGGGGTAAGAAGGGTAGGGGGAGTAAGAAGAAGGGGAGGGGGGAGTAAGAAAGGGGGGTAAGAAGAGAGGGAGGGGGAGTAAGAAGGGGGTAAGAGGGGGAAGGGGAAAAGAAGTTCTTTATTTGAAATTTAAAGGACCACTCTAGGCACCCAGACCACTTCAGCTTTATGAAGTGGTCTGGGTGCCAGGTCCCTCTAGGATTAACCCTTTTTTTTTTTATAAACATAGCAGTTTCAGAGAAACTGCTATGTTTATACTGAGGGTTAATCCAGCCTCCAGAGCCTCTAGTGGCTGTCTCATTGACAGCCGCTAGAGGCGCTTGCGTGCTTCTCACTGTGAAAATCACAGTGAGAGCACGCAAGCGTCCATAGGAAAGCATTGTAAATGCTTTCCTATGCGACCGGCTGAATGCGCGCACGGCTCCTGCCGATGACGTCGCGAGCAAGGAGGAGAGGAGGAGTACAGATCCCCGCCCGGCGCTGGAGAAAGGTAAGTGTTTAAACCCTTCCTCTCTCCAGAGCCCGGCGGAAGGGGGTCCCTGAGGGTGGGGGCACCCTCAGGGCACTATAGTGCCAGGAAAACGAGTATGTTTTTTTCCTTTAAGTTTATACGCCGATAAATACAGTACTTATAAATGCCATAACCAAGAGTGTAGGTTTTTTTTACAAAATAGTGCCTTTTACAACAGTAGGGATTATGGGTACAAAGTTTTCCACTGCTAATATTTTGGAGCCTTCATATTTTGTGTCTTATTTTACCCTGTTATTTGCCAGACATTTTTTTCATTCTACAGCATTTTTTCATTTTTTTCGGTGGGTTCAGGGATATGAGATCACAACTCTATCCACATTGAAATACGTTTGAGAGGAAAAAAGGCCATTCTTTTCTACTCTACTTTTCTACTCCGGCCAAATATTTACATTGCTCCCCTGATTATCTCTCAGCAGATGTTAATGGGGACTTTTTGTTATGGTGATCTGTAACTACCATGATTGCCAACGAGCCCATTTTAACTTTAATGAGCATGCATCCCATCATAGATTACCAGTTATTAATTACACTGCTAATCTTTGATTATTCTGCCCTGTTGAATGGCACATATTAGACTGGTGCAGTTCTAGCATACCATAAATAATTACTATGTGCCACCTCTTCTGAAAGGCTATTCCATGCTTGCAGTATTTATTATCACCTGTTTTATATGTAGTGAAGAATTGTGTTTGCGTTGCTGCGAGGTGCTGGCCCCAGGCCAAAAATAACAGCTGAGAGAGGCGCCGAAGCATGTTTAAATACGCAGACAGGACCCGTGTGAGAAAGAGCGTCCAGCCGGATTTGAAACACAGAGTGCAAACAGAAACATGGAGTGCAAACAAAACATCCTGCCTACTCCCCTCAGTGCCACCACAATCACTGCATCCCTACTGTGTGTCACGGTGACACAGGCAGGGCCGTCTTTAATATGGATTGGACCCATGGCAAACATTTGCTTGGGCCCCCTGATCCCGGTCGTCCCCTCCCTGGCATGCAATCATGCCCCCCACCCCAACGCAGAGGCGGACGTAAAGTAGAGAGGGCTCTGGTGCGTGAATTAATTTGGGCAAGAGGGGGCAAAAGGTAGATCCCCATCTGTCATGCAACTCCAACAATGCTTTGACAGCTGGGGCGCTACCATTTTCCTATGCATGCATGGTTATATTTAGCACTGAGCAGTATTTGTGTGTTTGAGTGTAAGCATGTTTTTGTATGGAGTATGTTTGTGTGAATGTAGGGGTGTGTTTGTATGTGGAGATGGCATTTAAATGCAAGTATGCATTTATGTGTAGTGTTGGTTTATGAATACACTGGTGTGTTTATATATAATTTTGTTGTTTAAAAAAAGAGGTGTGTTTATATGTAGTGTTGAAGTTTGAATGCAGGTGTGTATTTGCGTGTAGTGTTGAATGCTGAGATGTATGCACAAATACACATGCACTGTCACAAACACACACTGTGATACACATACACACACAGAAACACTTGCAGATACACAGATATACACAATCATACAGATGCAGCTATACAGACACATTTACACACACTGACACACACACATACAGACACACAATGGCACACATGCACACACACGCAGATACACTGACAACATACAGATACACAGACACACACAATGACAACATACAGACACACAGATACATAACCTGACAAATGCAGATACAAACACTGACACACATGCAGATACACACATTGGCTACATACAGATACATGCACAGGTATACACACTGGCACACACACACAGATACATACTGACAACATACAGATACACACTGACACACACACACAGACACTGTGAAAGACATACTGACACTGTGACAGACATACAAACTGACACACAGACAGACATACAAACTGACACACAGATAGACACTCTTCAGTTTCCTACCTTTGAAAGAGGCTTCCTTCCCTGGGGTCCAGTGTGCTGGCTGGGGTAGTTGGGAGTTGGGGGTCTGGCTCTCCTTGCTCCCCCTCCTCACTGGATGCTGGCTCAGCAGCCTCCCGCGCGGCCCGATATCTTTGAGGTGGGAGGAAGTGATTCGCGGACGTCACTTCCTCCCATGCAGCCGTTAAGCAAGGGGCCCGGTCGCGCTGTTAAAGGGCCACAGCGCCGACCGGACCCCTGCTGGAACATGCTCACTGGGTGGCCCTAAAGGTATGGGCCACCTGGGGGGGCCCCTTTGTGTGCGGGCCCCGGTGCAGCCGCAATACTAGCACCGCGGGCCCATTAGGTAGGGAAATATTTAAAAATAATAATTTTTTATTGCAGGCGACGGGGCCCACGGGGCAGCTGCTTTGGGCCCCCCATGAGTAACTGGGCCCAGGGCAGCTGCCCCGTTTGCCCCTCCTTAAAGACGGCCCTGGACACAGGCAAAAGCTGCCATTATCACTTTTGATGCTGTTGCATCTCCAGAATGAGCAGGCATTAAGATGCTAGAGTAGGACCTGCCAAGAATGGGGTACATTGACGTTGTGGAAGACTTATGCAATGCATGATCATATACTGTAACTAAACCCCCATTATTTTCGCCTAGATTAGGTGTTTCAAAAAATAAATTAAAAAAATTACATTCTGTGAGCTTTGATATTGCTGTTTAGTGAATGAGTGAGTGCGCTGGATCTTGTATGTTATTTATTTCTTTCCATATGGAAATCTTCTGCCTGCATGGAAATAAGGTCCCTGGTCCCCTGCTGTTACAAAACTACAATTCTATTAATTATTATTATTATGATATTTATATAGCGCCATCAAATTCCGCAGCACCTTACAATGGGTGGACGAACAGACATGTTGTTGTAACCAGACAAGTTGGACACACAGGAACAGAGGGGTTGAGGGCCCTGCTCAATGAGCTTACATGCTAGAGGGAGTGGGGTAAAATGACACAAAAAGGTAAGGATAGTATTAGACTAATGACAGTTGCAAGAGAGGAATCAGTCAGGAGCTATTAACAGTTTAATGGATACGCTTTTATGAAGAAATGGGTTTTTAACAATTTTTTGAAGGAGTGGAGACTGCGTGAGCATCTAACGGAGGAGGGAAGCGAGTTCCACAGGAACGGTGCAGCCCTCGAGAAATCTTGAAGGCGAGCATCGGAGGTGGGAGTACAGACAGAAGATAGACGTAAGTCTTCAGCAGATCGTAAGGGCCTAGACGGGACATACTTGTGTATAAGGGAGGGTAGATAGGTGGGAGCAGCATTATGTAGCGATTTGAAAGCAAGAACCAGAATTTTAAATTGAGCTCTATATTTTATAGGAAGCCAATGTAGGGACTGACGGAAGGGTGAGGCATGGGGGTTGCGTGCGGACAGGAAGATGAGCCTTGCTGCCACATTCATTATGGACTGTAACGGCGCAAGTTGGGAGCACGTAAGACCACTGAGAAGCGTATTATTATTAATGCTTATCCAACCCCAATATGATGAGGGGCACAGTGCAACTGGCAGCAGGGCTGTATCTTCTGTGAGGCTTACATGGCATTTGCCTTGAGAGGCACTTTCAGGGGGGTTGCAAAAAACACTGCCCCCAAGCGCCCTGGCAGATATCATGTCAGCCTCTTTCATGGGGGGCTCTTCGAGGTGGGCGACTGCAAATATTATGGGCGGGCGGCAAGGGAGCACAGTCAACTGAGCTCTTCCTGCTCTTCTCCCTCACGCGTCCACCGGTGATGTCGGAGCCGGAATATGACGTCGGAGCCGAAATATGACGTCACTCCGGCTCCCAGCATCACTAAGCTGAGCAGGAGGATCAAAGCTCCCTCGCTGCCATCATTGACCAAACACCTGCCGGCCTGTCCATCCACTGAGGAGCACAGGAACTTGCACAGCCGGCCATCCAGCCCAGCACCTACACTGGATCCCAGGGACATAAGCCCCTCTGGACCAACAGCTAAAGAATCCACTCCAGCTCTCCCAAAAGGTATGTAGGCTGGGTGGATTTTAATTTTAAAAAACAACTATTTGAGAGTTTGTGAGGCAATGTATGTGAGTGTGTGTCTGTCAGTCTATGTCTGTGAATGTGTTTCTGTCAATGAATGCATGTATCTGTTAATGTACGTCTGTGAGTGTATGCATATCTGAGAAGGTGTGCATTTTAACTTTAACTGAGTTGTTGTGTCAGTTTCTGTCTGTCAGTCAAAGTGTGTTTTAGTCCTAAACAGGAAGGGGTGGAGCAAATTTACATTAGGTGGGGTGTCCGAGTTTCCACATGCCTTGGGCAGCACGAATCTAAAATACACCACTGATTGGCAGCTGTAATCCAGACCACTGCATTTACATTATTGGCCTCATCCACAGCCCAGGAATGGGATCAGACCAAAAGGGTATTAGGGGCAGCTCATTCACTCATTGTAGTCCAAGTAGTGACCACTTCAGTGATTTGTGGCAGGAATATTTATGTGCAGTGTTTCACTATGAAACTCTGTACACACAAAGATTTACCCCTTAGCTGCCATAACTCTACCTCTGGCAGCACCCACAGCTAGCATTAAACTATAGTTCTGGGTTGGCTAATGCCAAGTCAATACAATTTTCTTGCACAGAAAATCAGTCATTGGCTGAGCGGAGTCAATTGATGTTCTCTGCCAATGAATGGCAACCGCCATGGCTTCTGTAACTCTGCATAAGCCGAATGTGTGTCACTGGACAACCCAGGGGATAATAGAGCCAGACTGGGACCCAGGTAAGGGGGCAAACCATTGCTAACCTCTTTGACCCATTACCAGGGAACTGGGCCAAGGTCCCCCTGGCAACAAAACCACTACAGCAGGCTGTAGTGGTTATGTTTTGAGTAGCACTTTAACTTCAAAAACTGACTAATTGCTGAGCGGCATGGGTGGGGTTATTACAAGCCACCCTTGCCATGTGCCCTCATCGCATAGGGGTAAAGGCAATGAATGAGAGGACATTCCTGCAGCCTCCTTGCTATTTTAAAATTAGGAGGAGGGAACTATTACAGGTCCCCAACTCCCAATAAACTAAGTATCCCATTGCAAAACACATGATTGAGGGGAGGAAGTGGTGGGTAGCCTGTCTGCCTGCCACTTCCATTATTAACCTCTCACCTCCCAGCAAGGCAAGTTGAGGGGCACGGAGAGTGCACTATACCTGGTTCCACAAATATAAACAAATAGCACTCCATTGCAAAGTCAAACTGCCATTATTAATTACTTCACTTCCAGAATCAAGTAAAACTATTTTTACTTTCATGTACTTTGCAGAATTAATTTATGTAAATAAAGCCTCACTTGCATATATATGAATAATTATTAGCCTGTAGAGGAGCAAATTTTTCTGCCAGAAGCCACTAGTCAATAATTTAATGGCTGCATTTGTGCTGAAAATGTAAGTTCACCTCATGATTTCAAACAGTAAAGGAAGCTTCAAAGGGTCATATCATTCTTACAGTTTTAAATATCTTTTATTTCAGTAAACTGTGGGAATTATGTTAAAATATATTCTATTTATTTTTATGTTGCCACTTTGTCTGTACTGCTAGTAATGCCATCAGGGCCCTTAAAAATACATATAAGCAAAGTATTTGACCATTTTTATTTATCTATTTTGTCACATGTATTGTATGTGTGTAATATAAAGGACACTGTATATTGTTTAGAGCTTTTTCATTTCCTAAATATTTTTATAAAGGCTGAACCAGGGCTCCCAATCATCCCAATTTCAATAGGACAGACCTAATGTCCTGATGTTCTGTTTTGTTTCTCGGTGTCCTGCTTTTGGGGACACCAGGGAACTGTCCCTACAAACTATAGCAGGAGCACATCATATAGTTGCACTCATGCTACGCTAAGGGCACAAGGGCCATGCAGAAAGTGCAAAAACAGTGCTCTGTGCATTATCTGCCCTCATTGGCTGGCCTGTATGACTGATAGGCAACCTAGTGTGCATTCATATGCATTTAGGTTGACACTAGGGTGGGTCTGTCCCCTTTGTTGCGGAACCAGTGATGTGATTCAGATCACTGGCTTGGCCCCAGTTTGCCTAACTCAGGATGTGCAGACCCACCCATCATGCCTACACAAACACACACTTCATTCACTATAAAAACACACACTCTGAATTTACTGTACACAAACACACTCTGCATTCACTACACACTCTGCACTCATTATACATGCACTACATCAACTACACACACTGAATCTAATACACACAAACACACACTCTGCATTCAGTATACACACACTACATCCACTACACAAACACACACTCTGCTTCTAATATACACTACATACATTACACAAAGTTCAATCTGTATCTATTATACACACTGTGTTGCACACGCACTCTGCATCAACTACACACATTCTACATCCACTAAACACACACTACATTCAGTATACACACTGCGGCACTGTGGGCGGACTCGGGGTGGCCCTAGCATGCCCATAGGGCATGTGTAGAGTTGGGTGTAATGCTGAATGAATCAGTGAAAAATAAAAAAATATGTAAATTTACATAAATTGAATGTATGTCTGACAAGTAGTCTGCAAGCAAAATTGTGGTTTTGTATTTTTGTGCTAGCTATGCATTCATTGCTTGAAATAAATATTATGCTAATAATATTTTCAGTCAAAGAGTGCTCAGTAGTGAAGAGGTTACACGTCCCCCAGCCACTAATTACAACGAGGAAGCCTGTACCTTCCTTCTTGTAATTAATGCAAGTAAATATGTATAAAATAATTGAATGGGCAAATTTTATCCAAAAAGAATGCTCATGTCTAGTTGACACAGTGACCTGGTGGAGTACATGGCTTATGACTGTCGATAGTGTGAAATTAAGGGGAGAGGGTATAAATATTGTGATAAATGTTTATGATCTATGCATTGGCTTGGTCAAGCCTCAGGTAGCCAATAGTTTAAATACATTAGTAGTCAGATGAAGCTGCATTTTTATGGTAACTTTGTTTACATTCTCTTTTTCTCCTCTCCCCTGCAGTTTCCAACTGTGTAGTAGGCCCTTGGGGCATGTGGAGCGAGTGCAACTCCCGCTGTGGGATTGGGAGCAGGGAACGTGCACGGCAGGTGATTGTGCCCCCTAGAAGTGGAGGAAACCCCTGTCCAGACCTTAGGCAGCGGCGTGGCTGCTATGGAGAGGATCCCTCTTGTCATACTTCTAAAGGTTATTATGGAACTCTTATTGAATATTTGGGAAAAAACATTTTTGGAACTTTTTACTGAAAGTACTCATATTGTTGTTACTTACACTTCACAGAGGTGGCCAAGATTTTACCAGACTCCTTTAAAAGGGATTTCAGGGACCCCTGGAGAAGACATCATGCCAAAACACCAGAGAGAACCTCAAGGTACAAATCTTCACTAAAACAAAGGGTGCATAATATGATCAAATAGATTTATTATGATGACCCAAGATCTCTTTTGCAGGCTGCTTTGTAATTCTATGAAGCATACTAGTCTGCTTGTCTGTGAATCTCACAATAATATGTAGGAGTGACAAGTCTTCAACATTTTACTTCTTCTAAATATGGCCATCACCCAAAGTGAGCAGAAGTGGAAGTGTGAGGGGTCACTTGTCCTGTTCTAGAGTGAGTACTTTTAATCGGGAACCCATGTTCTGTAGCCACAGGAGATGTCTGAGCAGCTCCACTTCCAATCCTTTCATCTGATGGCCAGGGGAGGACTCTCCAACAGAGGAAATCCTAACAAGCACTTTGAGTGGTAATATCATCTGGCAGGAAAGAAAGAGCTTGTTTCTCCCTCCCAAATTTGCACTTCGGTTCTGCTCCAGTTGTAATCATTCAAATCTCCATATATCGGTAATTTGTCTGATTTGGGTTATTCACAGTTAATTTACAATCACATTTCATTAATTAGTTGAAGCCTCCTTGCCCGAATTTAATACATTCGGTCCAGAGTTCAGGTGTCTGCTAGCATTTTGGTCATACTGAAATAAGGACCAAATTCAAGCCCGTTCGGAGCTTGATCTGTGAAATACAGATATTGGTGAATTTCATCAACAGTTTCTGGATTTTTTTAGTCCGAATGGCCCTGTATAGCAGCAAATGATTTTGCCCATTCGGTAAGAGACGATTCGGACTTCAGTGAATAACCCTGTTATTGTTTAGTAAATTAACCAACAAATATATGGCTGCAATGTTAAAACGTTATTAGAATTCTGATTTGAGACCAGCCTCTGAAAGCCATTTAACAGCTCTGTAAATTGCTGTGAAAGGTTCTGCTTATAAAATATTCACAGGGACTGTTCTGCATGATGTAAATGTAAATCTCCATATTGTGTTCGTGCTGGTAAATGCCACAGAACGGCATGTTCTGTCATCTGGCTGTGCCAGTGTGTGAGGTCACAGTACAGATGGCATTGTACCGTTCCTGACTTGCTATTCTCAACTGACCCAATCCTTCATGTTTTGCTACACCTCCTCCGCATGCAAAACATATTCCATGCTCGCTGCCAATATCGCCTGCTGTGCTCCCCAGTGAGTGAGGAAAAATGTGCTGCTAATAATCAGGGGGAAACAGCTGCCTCTTGTATAAACACACACTGATAATGAACATGTTACACTGCATTCTGTGCAGTATGACTGGAATCTTCACAATCATCACAAACATTGTCGTTCCATTACATTGCTTTGCACCGCACATTTCATTAGTGTACACACAGAAAATGTATTTCTTATTTTTTTTTAGTATAATAAAAGTAGACAGTTTAGCAGACTCCATTTTCCACAGGCACCAGTTCCATATCTCCTTAGTGCACTTAGCATTTAACAGTCAGGGCCGGCTTTAGGGGTGTGCGAGCTGTGCGGCCGCACAGGGCACCATGGCAACAGGGGCGCCGGGCGGCCGACACAGCTCGCACTCAGTCACTCACAGGCCAGCCCGAGTCATGTGCAGAGCAAGTCAAGTGTATAGTGCTGTGCACTTGACTTGCAAATTATGAAGAGAGCAGCGGCCGGGAGAGAGAGAGGAGGTCAGGAGCCCTGAGGAAGAGCATGCTCCGCCTCCTCAGTCATTCGCGGAAGGATCCGCACAGTGAGTGTGAGGAGGAGGTCAGTGCTTTGGTATCAAGGTCGGCAGACTGGGACACTGTTAGGGGGGTCCAGGGAGCAACAAGCTTCAATGTGAGTCTGCTCATTCTTGTTATAACTATTGCTTTTTTAAAATTAAATATATTGTTGTTTTTTTTAAGGGTGGCAGGTGTTTTTGTGTGGGGGGGGGTTTGCAGAAGGGGGAGCAAAGGTTTTCTAGCTGGGATTTTGGGGAAGGGGTTTTGGTTTAGGGAGGAGCAGAGGTTTTATAGAAGGGTTTAGGGGTTTTGTAAAAAAGGGGGGGTAGGGGTTTTGGTGTAGGGGAGATGTTTTGTAGAAAAGGGGGCAGGCATTTCTGGTGAAGTGGCAGGGGAAAGGATTTTGTGGAGGGGGAGCAGGGGGTTTGTAGAGGGGGCAGGAGTTTAGTATAGGGGGCAGGGGTTTAGTATAAGGGGCAGGGGTTTAGTATAAGGGGGCAGGGGTTTAGTATAAGGGGGCAGGAGTTTAGTATTAGGTGGGCAGGAGTTTAGTATAAGGGGGGCAGGGGTTTAGTATAAAGGGGGCAGGAGTTTAGTATAAGGGGGCAAGGGTTTAGTATAAGGGGAGCAGGGATTTCTGGTGAAGTGGCAGGGGAGAGGATTTGTGGAGGGGGCATGGGTTTTGTTAAAGGGGGAGCAGGGGGTTTGTAGAGGGGGCAGGCGTTTAGTATAAGGGGAGCAGGGGTTTATGTAGAAGGGGAGCAGGGGTTTATGTAGAAGGGGAGCAGGCGTTTATGTTGAAGGGGAGCAGAGGTTTATGTAGAATGAGTGCAGGGCTTTTGTAGAGGGTGGCAGTGGTTTTGGTGGAGGGGGAAGGTTTTTAGTGATATGTGTACATTGCTGTATAGTAGATATATATAATGATTTCATGTGTTTTGTTAAAGGGGAGAAGGAACCTTGTAGAAGGGTGGGCAGGGGTTTTATTAAAGGGGGAGGAGGAGTTTTGTAGAAGGGGCAAGGGTTTTGTAAAAAGGGGGCAGGGGTTTTGTAGAAAGGGAGCAGGGGTTTTGTGGAAGGGTTTTGTAGTAGGAGGAACAGGGCTATTGTAGAAGGGGCAGGGGTTCTGCTGAAGGGGGGGGCGCCACGTGTTGGGCTCACACAGGGCGCCTGATCACCTATGGCCGGCCCTGTTAACAGTGCATGTCATGCTCACACCCCTTGCCATACTTCTAATGCCACCTACCTCATCCCACTACTGATACTATGGGGAGTCATGTATACAAAGTGTTATGATTTGAAAATTGGTGCAAAGATGCAAAGGTCTGAAGTCATCAATGGAATGTTCTTGCTAGTTCCACTTATTTCCATGGTGATTTCACCACTTTTAGTAATTTTGACCACTTTTAAGAACACAACACTCAGCCATTCAGGAAGAAAGAGGGAGGACTTCACTCAACAAATTAGGAATTTTCTTATAAGCTGAAAAGGAATGTTCTCCACACCAGAGAGGTGGCCAAGACTCAAATAGCACATGTAGCATAGGCAACACATTTTTTGCCAGAAGTCATTATATTCCGATATTAATATAAGGAATGGTGAATGAAAACTAAATTGCAAAATTTAGACCATAATGTCCTTTTTTGTTTGCTATTTGTCAGACCACATTGGCCTAAATTTTGCAACTTGACTTTTAATGCACCACCATTCATTTAGTCAGTAAACCACTTTTGGATTGCTGTTTTTTTAGCCACTTTTATTCTAGTTCCCCTATACTGTTGTTCAAAACACATGTAAAGCTTTTCTGAATGTGTTGCTTTGTCCTGATGATATTGATCATCTATTAATGGTTTTTGTTTTTGTTCCTCCCTCTGTCCAGTTACTGTGTGTATTTCCGCATGAAGCATGTGGGCCCAGTCTGTCGCCTTCAAGGATGGAGCAGACAATTGATGCAAGAACAATTGGTGTGTGTGGAATGCCAGGTCGAAGCTGTGGCGAGCAATGGTCGATGCTTGGGGGATGGATTGGCTGGAACCAGGTAGGGATTTCTTGCTGTGAGCTGCAAAATTCAGACATTGTTCACACTATTTAACAATATCTGGATTTTGCAAATCAGGCCTTGAACGGGACTGAATTCGGTCTGGATTTCAGCCGAACACTGCTAGACCCAATAAATTAATGAAATCCAGACCTAATTAATTAAATGTGGGCTGGTGGCTTCAATCCAGGCCTAAGTTTTAAAAAAAACAAATAAACTATTTGCCTGCTGGCAGTGCTATGAAGAATAATTAGACCCCCTTATTACTATAAGGGAGGTTTTAAACCTCCCTATACATACAGCTGCCAGGTGGCAGGATATCTGCTAAAGTGACTGGGCAGCCAATGGGGCATGTGATTAACAAGGGGGATATAGTCCCATCCATTGGTGCAGGGCCGTCTTTAAGGAGGGGCAAACGGGGCAGCTGCCCTGGGCCCAGTTACTCATGGGGGGCCCAAAGCAGCTGCCCCGTGGGCCCCGTCGCCTGCAATAAAAATTTATTTTTTTAAAATATTTCCCTACCTAATGGTCCCGCGGTGCTAGTATTGCGGCTGCACCGGGGACCACACACCATACCTTTAGGGCCACCCAGTGAGCATGTTCCAGCAGGGGTCCGGTCGGCGCTGTGGGCCTTTAACAGCGCGACCGGGCCCCTTGCTTAACGGCTGCATGGGAGGAAGTGACGTCCGCGAATCACTTCCTCCCACCTCAAAGACATCGGGCCGTGCAGGAGGCTGCTAGCCAGGATCCAGTGAGGAGGGGGAGCAAGGAGAGCCAGACCCCCAACTCCCAACTACCCCAGCCAGCACACTGGACCGCAGGGAAGGAAGCCTCTTTCAAAAGTAGTAAACTGAAGAGTGTCTGTCTGTGTGTGTGTCAGTTTGTATGTATGTGTGTGTGTCAGTATGTCTGTGTGTGTCAGTATGTATGTATGTCTTTGTGTGTGTCAGTATGTATATATGTCTGTGTGAGTGTCAGTATGTATGTGTCAGTCAGTATATGTATGTGTGTCAGTTTGTATGTCTGTGTGTATGTCAGTATGTCTGTGTGTGTCAGTTTGCGTGTCTGTATGTCGGTGTGCCAGTCAGTATGTCTGTGTATGTGTCAGTATGTATGTCTGTCACAGTGTCAGTATGTCTGTCACAGTGTCTCTGTGTGTGTGTGTGTGTATCTGTATGTTGTCAGTATGTATGTATCTGTGTGTGTGTGCCAGTGTGTATACCTGTGCATATATCTGTATGTAGCCAATGTGTGTATCTGCATGTGTGTCAGTGTTTGTATCTGCATTTGTCAGGTATCTGTGTGTCTGTATGTTGTCATTGTGTGTGTCTGTGTATCTGTATGTTGTCATTATATCTGCGTGTGTGTGCGTGTGTGCATCTGTGTGTCTGCATGTGTGCCAGGTTGTGTCTGTATGTGTGTGTGTCAGTGTGTGTAAATGTGTCTGTATAGCTGCATCTGTATGATTGTGTTTCTGTGTGTGTATGTGTATCACAGTGTGTGTGTGTGTGTGTGTGTTTGTGACAGTGCATGTGTATTTGTGCATACATCTCAGCATTCAACACTAAACGCAAATACACACCTGCATTCAAACTTCAACACTACATATAAACACACCTCTTTTTTTAAACCCTTAAGACCGGAGGGCGTACTATTACGCCCTATTCTAAGCGGCTCTAAACGCCGCCGGGCGTAATAGTACGCCCTCCGGTCTTTCGGTACTTACCCTCCCAGGGAGCCCCCCGCGGCACGTCCGTCCTCCTCGAAGCCCCCCGGCCATGTGAGAGTGGGGTCCTTGCGAGGACCCCACAATCACATGGCCGGGGGTAGCTGGCTGCTGGCTGAAAATAAAAATAAAATAAATAAATAGTGTAAAAAAAATAATAATATATACTTAGATCATATATGATTTAAGTATATATATACACATATACATACACACACGTACACCGTCTAGGTGTATTTTACTATTAATATATATATAATTATATATATATATATATATATATATATATATATATATATATATATATATATATAAAAATACACGTAGACTGATACTGATTAAATATATATATATAATTATTGTTATATATATATTTATATATAATATAAAATAAAATGTAAATAATGCTAAAAAATAAAATTAAAAAAAAATTAAAAATAAATAATTAAAAAATATATAGATGTGTGTTATTTCGTTCTAACTGTATTGTGATATATATATATATATATATATATATCAAAATACACGTAGAACGAAATAATATATATATCTATATACATAAATATATACGTATATATCTATATATAAATAAAATATTTAAAATTATATATATATATACATATATATACACATACGTATATATATACATATATTAATTCTACATATATATTTATGTAATATTTTTACATAATTAGGTATCTTAATTAATTACAATTAGCGGGACCTGCCTGACAACCCATGCCGAAAGTAAAGGGAATTTAATTTGCTAGCACTATATTTAACCCTATAACTTTCCAAGACACCATAAAACCTGTACATGGGGGGTACTGTTCTACTCAGGAGACTTCGCTGAACACAAATATTAGTGTTTCAAAACAGTAAAATGTATTACAACGATGATATCGCCAGTAAAAGTGAGTTTTTTGCATTTTTCACGCACAAACAGCATTACACGGACAATATTATTGCTGTGATACTTTTTACTGTTTTGAAACACAAATATTTGTGTTCAGCGAAGTCTCCCGAGTACAACAGTACCCCTCATGTACAGGTTTTATGGTGTTTTCAAAAGTTACAGTGTCAAATATAAGGCTTGCATTTCATTTTTTTCACATTAAAATTCGCCAGATTGGTTACGATGCCTTTGAGACCTTATGGTAGCCCAAGAATGAAAATTACTCCTATGATGGTAAACCATTTGCAATAGTAGACAACCCAAGGTATTGCAAACAGGGTATGTCCAGTCTTTTTTAGTAGCCACTTGGTCACAAACACTGGCCAAAATTGGCGTTTTTTTATTTTTTCACACACAAACAAATACTAACGCTAACTTTGGCCAGTGTTTGTGACCAAATGGCTACAAAAAAGACTGGACATACCCCATTTGCAATACCTTGGGTTGTCTACTATTGCAAATGGTATGCCATTATGGGTGTAAATTTCATTCCCGGGCTACTATACAGTCTCAAAGGCAACGTAACCAATCTGGCGAAATTCAATTTCAAATGTAACGTGCTATATTTGACCCTGTAACTTCCCAAAAGACCATAAAACCTGTACATAGGGGGTACTGTCTTACACGTGAGACTTTACTGAATACAAATATGTGTATTTTATTGCAGTAAAAGCAAACAGTATTATGACATTGACCGTTAAAATGTCATGTAGAACTAAAAAAATTTAAAAAAATCGTATTTTCTCCCATTTTTTTCATATTAAATTATGTTTCATAGCTAAATATTTGATATTAAATGAAAGCCCTGTTTCCCCTGAATAAAATGACATATAATAAGAGTGGGTGCATTTACTATGAAAGAGGTGAATGACATATAATAAGAGTGGGTGCATTTACTATGAAAGAGGTGAATTACGGTTGGACAGACATGTAGCGCAAATGCCAGGTTTTGTTTACATTTTGTTTTGTTCACAACATGTACATTTGGCTCCGTCCTTAAGGGGTTAAACAACAAAATTATATATAAACACACCAGTGTATTCATAAACCAACACTACACATATATGCATACTTGCATTTAAATGCCATCTCCACATACAAACACACCCCTACATTCACACAAACATACTCCATACAAAAACATGCTTACACTCAAACACACAAATACTGCTCAATGCTAAATATAACCCTGCATGCATAGGAAAATGGTAGCGCCCCAGCTGTCAAAGCATTGTTGGAGTTGCATGACAGATGGGGATCTACCTTTTGCCCCCTCTTGCCCAAAATAATTCATGCACCAGAGCCCTCTCTACTTTACGTCCGCCTCTGCGTTGGGGTGGGGGGCATGATTGCATGCCAGGGAGGGGAAGACCGGGTTCAGGGGGCCCAAGCAAATGTTTGCCATGGGTCCAATCCATATTAAAGACGGCCCTGCATTGGTGGTGGGTGGGGAACTAATTACAGGATCAAATAGTGCAGTTGTTTGGGGATGGTCAATAGCATGTTCACTGCCCATTATTTAATTAGAGCCCCCACAGCACATGAGAGGAGGCCGGGGAGAGGACATAGGTCTTCTGCCCTAATTATTCTTCGTATTATTATTTGACTGGACACCTGCCACCAATGAATGTGGTCCATGGATGGACACTAGTTCCTCACCCTGAATATTAAAATTGTGCTAGCAAACAGTACTTAAAATTATCGTTCGCTTGCATGAAAGCAAGTGAATGATAATTTGCAAATGTGCATCCTGCTTTGTAAACAATCTGAATCTTATACTTTGTATAGGATTCAGTTGCCAAATCACAGATTTTTGTCCATGCACCAAATGCATCTCGCATTTGCTGCAGTCACTCAGAGAGACTGAATTCCAACCGTATTTTTGCTTTAGCAAATCTGAGAATTGGCATTCTGGCATTCTTTTGGCATTCTGTCACCGGATTTTGCCCATCCATACACATCATGTGTTTTGTAAATAACATGATACTATTTTTCATTGATATACAGGACGTTCTGGACTGCTGCCTCTCTTCCGGGCTGCCAGGGATCCTGGGTGCAAGAGGATCTACGTGAGGACTGTACATGCCAACTGCTTTCCTTCCTCTTTGTATGATGATGCAGAGCCCTAAATACTAAGGGATGCAGTGGACTGCCTTAGTGCTAGTGATAATGCACACCAGGCTGACCAATAATCTCTAATGCACAGGGCATCAGAAGCCATCATGTTTAGTAAAGCACAAAGCTAGATTACTTACCTCTCAGATATCTACCTCTGCAATATGCTTCCAGGAGGAAACATCCTTAAATTTTAAATGATTATTTCCATGTTGTGTGAAATGTATTTCTAGCTATGGATATCTCTGGTCTAGTGTTTGAGGTGGCTGGCAACTTCACTCTCAGGAGTCTTTGCAGCATGTTTTTGCTTTTTTCCCCTGAAAATGTATGTCAAGATGTACTTCACAAAACATATATGCAAATTCATTTAGCAACTGCAATTAGGTAGCTTTATAGAATGCTGGAGATGTCATGACATCACAAATGGTGAAGCACTGGTGGTCACATGAAATGGACACACCAGGCCAGAATTGACCTCTTGTTTTGTAAGCATTAAGATTATGTATTAATATAAATATAATTTCAAAATTTCCTTGTGTAACTTCTATACAGAGCAGGAAGAGCTGAGGTTCTCAGCCCATTGGGAAAAAAACAAAAACGGCTATTGATATTCATACAACATATCTGCCAACATTGGGCCAGGCTGTGAGGGGAGGCATTTCCAGTGTTGTGAGCGGACGCCCAGTATGGCTTGGCCTGCTTGGAAAAGGGGCAGCTGCCCACTGAAGGGACCTGTTTGGCCAGCCCCCAACCTGCAGCACCTTGCAGAGATTGTTGCTGCAGCATTTTAGTGCCTGTTCACAGTGCAAGCGTGTCTAATGATGCGCTCACTCTGTTCTGGCGAGGACAGTCCTCTGGGGTTCTGAGATGCGGCACAGGACCCTGAAATCGGGACTGGTCGGAGGCCTGGTGCTTTATGCCTTGGTGGGTGTTCTCTTTCTACTGACTTTCCCCGAAAATAAGATTTTGCCCCCGAAAGACTAACTAGGGCTTATTTTTGGGAGATGTCTTTTTTTTTTTTGGAAAGCGGTAGCAAGTGTGTTCTACAAAGCAGGTCTACGTTTTGGGGAATCCCTCCGAACATAGACTAGTTCATGGAATCATGCAAGTCTATGTTCAGGGAAACTTTCCAAAACATAGATTAGCTTACTCACGAATGGAATCCTGCACATCTGTTTGGGGAATCTTCCCCGAACATAGATTAGTGAGCTAGCGACTAGAGCTTATTTTCAGGGTAGGGTTTATATTACGCGCGTCCCCAAAAAATAAGCTACAGCATATTTTCGGGGGATGTCTTTTTTTTTCCATGGGAAACACAGTAATGAAGGTTGTTTTGGAGTTCAGATCATTCAGTACTATTAGTGGCTGAGCGGTGTGCATACACCTGATTAAATAATATTTTCTTGGAGTGAGGGTGTGTGGTTAAGGAAGCAGGCTTATTTTGTAGCATTCTGCTTTTTTAGTTTGTGCAAATCTATAAAGATTTGAGCATGCAAAGAATACAGCATATTCATAAGACCAAAATCTAGCAAATGCATTAACTATTACTTGGCTGTTAGAATGCCCCCTTACTTCTACAGTGTCAGTAATTAAATCATCCCAATTTTGATGTCAGGAAAAAAAGTTTCACTTCTTATAATGTGAATTATTAAAGTTTCAGTCACTTTTACTACAAGATTTAAATAAGTTTGTCTGTTTTGCCATTTTATGATGTGCAGAGAACATACAGGTCTGTAGCATTAGGGTGTGTCTAACAATAAAATTTTTTATATTAAAAGTAAGCAGTCTATCCAAGTAATTGTAAATAAACACTATGTCAGAAATACAGACATGTATTCCTGTCACTATAGTGTTTAACTAACCATTTAAGTTCTGGTCCCCCTTTGATCACATTGGGAAAAAACTTTTGTTTTTTGTTTTTTAAAAACTTTTTTCTCAAGACTGCTGGCTCAACCTCCATGGCTGAGATCATCAATCTACAGAAAAACATTGGGAGACTATTGCACACACGCGGCAAAATGCCTCCCTGCGCCAATCAGCATCTCCTCGAAGAGATGTATTTAATAAATGCATCTCTATAGGGAACGTTCAGTGCTAAACGCTAGTGCTGGACTGGGAAGTACCTCTAGTGGCAATCTGAATGACTAGAGGTGTTACTAGGCAGCCAAGTATAAACAGCCTTTTTCCTTTGAAAAGGCGGCATTGACAGTGCTCAGACTCCAGACACAAGCTATAGCCATCTGTAGTGGCCATCTATATTAATCTGTAGTGGTTCTGGTGGCTCAAGTGTCCCTATATATACACACTACCCCTAAGGCCAACCCTGCTATATTCTAACCAACATTTAAACTCATCCCTAGCTTAACCACAGGACCTCAATGTAAACTCCCAGCTGTAGGTCAAATAATGTTCACTGCTCATCATGCTAGCGTTTTATGTGCTCTATAAGTATATACATTGCATGTAAATATATATATTCCCAAATCTGTATCACCTCTTGTTTTTCATAACTGTGGTACAATGAATTCAATACTGGTCATTTTAAAAAACAAAAAAAAAACTGCATGTGTTTATTTTCAGGATATTATATTACATTGGCTGCGTAACAGGAAACTAAACTTAATTTTATTTTCTTTTTTTAAATATGGTGCTTATTAAACACAATATTGCAGTATAAAAACACTGAAGTGAGGTTCATATGTGCCAAAACAGGTTTGATTTTATGCCGTCTAATCTTGTAATGCAAACAGTGTCTACTAATGTAAAATGATTTGAAATAAATCTCGGAACTGGGTGTTGTTGATAAAGCTAAATTCTCTTCCAAATTAAGCAGCGGTTTGCATTTTTTTTTTTTCTTTCAATAAGTGATTTTATTGAGCTTTAGAGAGTAATATAGGTATCCAACATGGCAATTGAACAGGATTGAAGTAAATTTAAAAATAAATAGAACTACAGTATATACTCGAGTATAAGTCTAGTTTTTCAGCACATTTTTTGTGCTTAAAAACCCCCACTCGACTTATACTCGAGTCACTGTCTGTATTATGGCAACTTAGAGAGCCGCGGCCGTCAGAGCCATGGCAACGATCCGCGCGGCAACCAGACCGCAAGACTTACAGTGGAGCTGACCAGAACGGAGGAGAAGGGAGCTGACAGAAGCTGCAGGAAAGGTAAGTAAATGCTTCCTGCCGGCCCCCCCACTTCACAGCCCATGCCACTGGACCACCAGGGATTAAGATAGCCCCCCCTCCCTGACCAGTTAACAAGCAGGGAGGGGGGACAAAAAAAAATTAAAATAATACAAAAATAATAATATTAAAAAAAAATTTTAAATAATAAAAATGCCCTCCCCCCACCCGGTTCACACAGACTACACAAACACACACTCTGCATTATATACACAGAGTGTGTGTATATAATGCAGAGTGTGTGTTTGTATGAGTGTGTGTGTGTGTATATAATGCAGAGTGTGTGTTTGTATGTGTGTTTGTATGAGTGTGTGTGTATATAATGCAGTGTGTGTTTGTATGAGTGTGTGTGTATATAATTATAAAAATCACAGAATTTCATAGCCCCAAGTTTTACCCTCGACTTATCCACGAGGCATAGCATATTTCACAATTGTTGGTCACAAAACTGCACTCGACTTATACATGAGATCGACTTATACACGAGTATATACGGTACATGCAATAACCATCGCAACAGAAAAAAAAAAAAAAAAAGTGAGTCAAAGTGCAGTGCTACCCTGATCAGTAGTACAGGCAGTATGCATTATCATAAGAGTGTCCCACAAGGCCCCCCCACCATCAATAATTTGATGGCTGATGTTCTGTCATATTCTTTGTCCGGTGAATGAGATTATCAGGCTAGACGGATGCTGAGGAAGAACTTGGTTTTCCTCCTTTTAACATATCAAAGCGATGGCAATGCTTGGATACACGCCCCTGCACCAGCTGGAAGGCGCTGTCTGCATCCAATAAGGATTTGGCCTAGGGACTCTAGAGGGGGTAGGGGTAACGATGGTCCAAGAATGCAAATTGGACGAACTGGTAGGCAGCAGGGTTTGCAGGGATTTTGAGAAAAGCAGCTTTTAAATCATTGGTCAAGAAGGTAAATTCTGGAGAGAAAGGAAGGACTGACCCTGTAGGTTAATGAACTTAATATGCAGACATAGCTCAGTGAAGGACCTCTGACACTGCGAATATTAGTCAAACCTCTAATTTCCCATTACAATTCATAATGATTGTCCTGGGTCCTTAAAGTGCTAAGACATCACAAGATAAAAATCTGCCAGAAATGGGAATGTTAAGCAACATTTTATACCACATGTATGGGGTCTCATTGATTCATGAGAGCAGCACTGCTTAAAAAGAGTCAGTAACAAGGATATTCAATAAAGTGAGAATTCATGTGCATTCAAAGTGAGTTTCAAATTTTAGACCATGACTGGGACTGAAGCCTAGCAGGCATAGATTGAAAGAAAGGGGTTGACCTATGTCTACCATTATAGATAACTCATTATATAAGCAGGAACATTAATGTATGTTCAAATCTGGCTCTAGTTAAAATTTGGAATATGTTTCTCCTCTTCACTTGCATAGTGTGCTGTGGCTGTGTGGAGGGAACACAAATACCAAGTGCTAAATACATTTTAATAGAAAACAGAGAATTACATGAATAAAGATGTATTATAATAAGTACACTGGCTTATTTCTTGTCACTAAAGATGCGTTTTTTTTCCATAATCCCTGGGAAAAAAGTAGTTGTTGCTAATAAACTCTGTCCGATGGCTCATTTCCATGATTGTTGCAATCATTAACCAATATGCTGGTAATCAAAATGGTTGCACTAAGGTTAGCAACTATTAGCCGTTTCCATGCTGCAATAATCGAATGTTTGGTAACTGCTAAGAAGCAGCTGCTGAAAGTTCTAATGTTTCTCATAAAGATTAATGGAAGCCGCTAATCGCTACTCACCAACTAGTTTCTATGCCAAGCTATAATAATTTTTTAAAGTCCTACAATTAATATTTCTAAACCCATACAATAACCAGTTGATATATACAACAGTGACCCTCCCAAGACACAATACTTGAATACATGTCAGAAAGTAAATGAAACATGTTCCCTTTTACAATCATGAGCAATATTTGTGTAAACCTGTTCAAAAATAAATATATTTACCAAAAAGTATATACAAGACTGCAGCTATGTGGCAACTGAATCACATGTAACTACAAAAATGCTTGCATTATAAAATACAGCATGTTTTTGACATTGTTCATATCAGGTAAGGAAAGTAAAAAAAAAAAAAAAATATGTATACATACATACGTGTATATAAACATAGATGAATAAATATCTGTTAGCATTGCAGCATGAGGGGCCCAAACCAAGGATCGGATCAGATGATCAAGATTCCATATAACAATAGTAGAACCAAAAAAATAGTTCATTCTGCTGCCTCCATAAATGGGAGTAAAATCCTCTGTGGTCTGAATTCTGCCTGCAGCATTGCAAGTCTTTCATGAAGACAGTCCGACTTAGTTCCTAGCTGTGCAATTTGCAGAGGGGTTAATATTTCCATAGCTTTTAGAAGTATCTGTCCATGCTCCAGCAATCCCAGAACAGCAGCCTGCACATGTGGGCACCCAGAGGCCTTCAACATGAGCTGGGAGACAGACCCTGCAACATAGAGAACCCATGTTAAATATTTGGTGATATTTAGAATTCCTACATTATAACAGCATCACTCTCTACACTTACAAAAGTGAGCAAGCACAAAGAATTAACTTAACAAAAATTTAACTATGAGCAGTAGATAGTGACATACAGAATATAACGAATTGTAAGTGGTACCTACCTTGTGCTTGCACCCAATGAAGACAGAGTTGGATCTGCTCTTGCACAATAGGGAAAGTGTGTTTCACCCACTGCAGCATGACTGAACACAATGAGGAGTTGGTGGACATAGAGCAAAGCAGACTATGCAGTATTGGGGATACTAGCGATGAAAGAAACAATGGATCTGCAAACACATTGGGCTCATCCTCTTCATATAGGCTGACTGACCTACAAGGGTAAGGTGAGCCAAAAAAAATGTTATTGCTTTTGGAAGATAAAAAAAATAAAAGCACACAAAATTAATAATGTAGCTATATATACACATGCACACTGATCAACCACAACATTAAAACCACTTTCCTAATATCGTGTATGACTCCCTCGTGCTTCCAAAAAAGCTCTGATGCGTCGAGGTATGGACTCCATAACACCATGAACTCTGTCATGTTCTTCAAAACATTCCTGAACTATTTTTGCACTGTGGCAGAGTGCATTATTCTGTTGCATGATGCCACTGCCAGCAGGGAACATTAAAGGGTACACGTGATCTGTAATTATCTCTAGGTAGTAGGTACGTGTAAAAGTAAAAGCCACATGAATGCCAGGACCATAGGTTTCCCAGCAGAATATTGCCTAAAGCATAACACTGCCTCTGCCGGTCTTGTCTTCTTCCCATACTGCATCCCCAAGTAAATGATGCACACAAATGTGGCCAATCACCTGATCGAAAATAAAATGTTATACATCAGACTAGTCAACTTTTTTCCATTGCTCCATGGTCCAGTTCTGATGCTCAGGTTCCCAATGAAGGTGCTTTGTGCGGTGGACAGGAGTCATCATGGGCACTTTGACCAGTCTGCGGCTATGCAGCAAACTGTGCTGCACTGTGTAATTGGACACATTTCTATCATGGCCATCATTACCTTTTTTCAGCAATTTGAGCTACAGTAGCTCTTCCATGTGATCAGAACAGACGGGCTAGCCTTTGTTCCCAATGTGCATCAATGAGCCTTGGGTACTCTAATTCACCAGAAATTCACATGAAATTCAAGAACTGACTGTTCACTTGCTGCCTAATATATCCCACCCCTTGACAGGTGCCATTGTACAATATAACCAATGTTATTCACTTCATTGGTTTTAATGGAGTGGCTGATCAATGTACTGTATATAAAAATATATATATAAAAAAAAAAAAAAAAAAATGCTGACATGTGCAGATGTTACCCCACACTGCTGGTCACCTTAGCACAAGTATTAAGGAAACAGTTGGAAAAATATATCAAATCAAGGCTCTCATACAAAATGTAGAGCTGCATCACTGAACATGGATAGGCAGGATGTAACAGACATGCTACCACATGTAATTTTCATCAATGATTAACAAGTATTTAGCACATTCTGTGTGTTATAGTAAAGCATGTTTCCTCACTCATTTACCTGTCATGGAGAGTTGTAAGTGCTGTGTGAAGATCACATGGAGGCAATCGGATTAAAAGTGAATGAAACATTTCCTCACAATCCCAGAAGTGGTCCCTCAAGAGCTGGAGGAGATGCAGAAGAGCCCGATCACTCTGCAAAGTCATCTCAACTGGCTTACCCAAGGCAACAACAGCAAATCTGGCGGCAGCATCTCTTACACTCCGTTCTTCGTCTTGCAAGAGATCAACTCCATAGCTTAAGGCCCTAATAAAAAGGTGAAGTTTTGTGGAAAATACTAAAGTGAAGTGACAGTTACAGGATGAAAGAAAGATTGAAACAAATGTGGAGAAATAGCTAAAAGGAATTAAGTCTTTAAAGGAGAGAGAACCAAGAAAATCCAAACACACACAAATTGGAACAGGACAAAGAAAAAAAGGTGGAGAATGGAATATGTAAGCATGCCTAGAGAAAAACTTTGAAATATTGACATCCATAGTATAGACCCTTCTTGCCTTACAGCCAGTTGTGTCAACCCACAGGTACTGTCACTAAGTGCTTGTCTCACTAGGTCAGCTCCGCCAAGGTGTAGAGCATGTGCAGCAGCCAGCCTTAGCTCCTCGCAGGATGAAACCGGGTCAGCACAACATGAGAGAACATCCAGCCATCTTGAGCAAACCGAGATGTCCTGTAGCATGGTCCTGATTGGGATACAGGAATCACTAAAAGGAATACTCTAAAACTAAAATTCACAACAGTGCAATGCCAGAAGTCCCTTAGTGTCAACCCATGTCAAACAGTGTATTAATAATTTGACACTTACCTGGCTTTCTATCATTCCAGTCTGCATAGCTATGCTAAAGCGCAAGTTTATTCTTACATATTAGCATACTAATGTTGGATATTACGAATTGGAGAAGGTTTTAGTAGGAACTTCTGCACTGATATCTGAAGAAGAGCCAGACCATGTGGCAAAGTGTCAAACCCTTTTCAACAGCACTAGGAGACTCCTGGCACAAAAACTACTATATCATACTGTAGTGGTTTTGGTGTTTAGCGTATCCCTTTAAGTGATGTAAGCCAACAAGACACACAAAAAACCTACTCTCTGAATAACAAACTCTAAGTCACATAAAGGGTTTCATGTCAGCTGAAATCAACACTCTCTACATTCAATAGGTCAGAGAAAACCCCATTAATATCATAATTGGCTCTGGCTATGAATTTACCCATGTTTTAGCAACAAGCCGACGGCACTCAGGGCCTGTCCCTGAAGCTGAGGTCCTTCTCTACCAGATTCCAGAAGACCAAGAAGAATGTGTGCACAGCGTATCTCCTGCTTTTCAGGCAAGTTGAGAACATACGATGGAAAGCACATACTGTGCACATGAACAAAAGCCTCCAGGCACGGTCTTAGATCCTCAGGGGCAGTACCAGAAAGCAGCACTGAACATAATTTGTCCTAAAAAACAAAACACCTTGAATGTGAAGAACAGCTCCATGAAAACACTTTAGTTAGTGAGAATATCTTTGCATAACTTTACCTGAAGGGCATCTCTCACAGCCTTGCCCATTGATGAAGATATATCACAATTAATTTTCCCCTTGAGCCATTTGTACAGAGCAGGGTCACCATCCTGAAGAAGTTGGAGCACAACTGGGTTGACATGATCAGACAACCTGTCAGACTCTTTGCACATATACAGAACACATGCCTCATGGAAAACATCAGAGCCCACCTGTAAGGCAAGGGAGCAAAAAATTATAGATGAGAAGAAAGGAAAAAAAGGAAAAGGTCTACAGAGAATGAAAAGAAAACTAAACAAACAAAACATTTCACATTTATATCTACCTGTTTATCGGAATCCTGTGCTTTGAGTGCTGTGCAAACAGCCTCATCCACCAGTCGTGCATACTCTGCACCACCCATTGGCACCAACAGAGAAAGCACATCAAGGAATGAAGCTCGAATTAAAGGACATTTTTGACTTGGAGAAAGCAGCCAAAGGGCTGGAAGCAACCTCTGGGCAAAGGCACATCCAAAACTCTCTGGTAGGCTGACAAGGGAGGATTGAAAAAGCAAGACGATGGGACAAGGAGGAAACACAAGGGAAAGGAAAGAAAGGTAAAGCTCGTAAGAAGACTGAATATATTCAGATTAGTTTCATTTCTATCACAGACTCATAACCAGATTAAAATCAACTACCTAGATTTTTGCACTACAACTCCTCTTGTGTTTGCATTTTCAAATCAGATATAGCCAGATGCACCAATAATTCTTAATTATCCTCTTCACGCCACGAGACATGCTCGGATAATCACAAAAACGGTCTCTTGAAGATAAGCGACGTCCTGGCCCCACAACACTTACCTGGGTTTCCAGAGAACTCACATTTCAGCCTCTCTTCATATATCACTAAAGCAAATGTTCTGACTTTTATATTACAGTCATCAGTTCTGCCCGTATTTGTATGGAATTTGTAGGACGACACACTCTTTTGCTTTGGCTAGATCAGAGAAACAGACCAGATTGCAGGTACCCAGGAGACTCAGGTGTCAATCCATTTAAAATAGTTTAGTTACTTACTGTGGGTCAGTGCTGAGGGACTTTCTGCACCATAGCCACTACATTGCATTGTGGTGGATAGTGTGACTGAGCTAACCCTTTAATTATATATATATATACACATATACATACTGGACATGTTCAGCAAATGGCAATTTTCTCACAAATGGCAATGTTTATATTTATCGGAATGCAAGGACAGGGTTTTTTCATTAAAACCACTGCATTAAGATATAGTGGTTTTGGTGCTTAAAGTATCAACTTAATGATGTCAATCCGTACAAATACATATGGAAATTATCACATGGGGAAACTATCCTACAAGCAGAGGTTGTTGCACTAAAAATGAAAACTAAACAAAAAAAAAAAAAAAAGTTATTGTTCACAAGGAACACAAATTTCCTCTGACTAGGAAGATATCTCCACAAAACCCAATTAATTGCGCCATTTGCCCCATTGTCCACAATGTGTGGTCAAAGCCTACAACATTATCGAGAATACAGCGCTTCACTAGAAACATCTTGGTAAGGTGGCAGCAAATCCGTTTTAGTTCAGACATTCCCAATCAAAGTAATGAAACACCATGACATTTTTTAAGTTGCTTGTACATATAAAGACACACGCGTTTGTGCTGCATAAGCTGTATTTGTCTTATTTCTCCCTTACCGGTTTTCTTTCAATGTTTCAGCCAGCAGAGCATGGATTTGTAGAAGACAGCCATGTAGTGCATTGTGGGACACTACTCCGCTTGATTTGGGTATGCTCTGAGCCAACTGTAATAGCAGAGGATGATAATTGTCCTCTTGGACAATGGGTACAATTGCACGAGCCGCTATGAGTCGTACTGCATATATAGGATTTCCAGCCAGGCACAGCAGAGGATCCAGAAAACAGCTAAATAAATAAATAAAATATCCATTAATAGGCAGCACATAGGCTGCAAACAACCTGTATTATAGAGTGTTTCACTCTTAAATCCCGAGCCTCCCAACTAGTTGGATAACCCAGAATTACTCAGCCTCATTGTCTCCTCCTGGCTGCAGTCTGGCAAGAAGTGTTAAGACTGGATGTAAACTGGGGTGTAGCACCTTCCCTGACTGCTGAGAGTCTTGTAGCTCCTGCAGGAGCACATTCTTAAGTCCTGGGAACCTTCTCAGCAAAGCACCCACAGACACAGTGCTCTTCACTGAACTGTCCCCATGACTGCGAGACAAGCCCAGCATACCCCCTGTCAAGGCACCTGTGGTGGCAACACAAAATACCAGACTGAAAAAACAGATTAGACGAAAAACATGCAAATTATAATGCAACTTTCAAATGTACATTGGTGATGTCTGGAGAATACTGCAACTCTAACACAAGACTTACTGAAAAGTTGTAAAGCTGCATTACGCATGGACCAGCATGGGCTCCTCAGATTGTGGAGAGCAAGAGACATCAGTTTGACAGCATGGGTGAGCAGATTAGATCGAAGGACAGAAGAACGCAGCATTGTTTGAAGAGCGTGCACTGCAGAAACCTGTTAAAAAAAATAAAATAAAAAAAAAATACAATTTTAAACCTGGTGGTAGTATGCTCAAACAGGCTTCAATAATATGCTTATGCCTTATAGGGCAGTTACCTGTGGAAGATCCCTGGTCAGATCCCAGTCAGAAGGCAGTGGTTCCTTGGCCAGTTCTAATAAAGAACTCACACAGGATACTAACAATGTGTGCGGTGACCCTTCTGCACACAGAATGCTCTGGAGGAGAACAGGGAAACCAGCGCCTCTACGTGTGACAGAGACAGAGTGCTGAGAGCGACATTCAGCCAGACCCTGGACAAAATGATGGAGTGAAAATAAAAGTTAGAGAGGAAAAATGTGTAAAATGAGATAAATTTGTACAAATGTATCATGCACCTGTTCCATTATGTTTCCAGGGATAGTGCTCAGTTTTTGATCTTCATTGCAAAGCAACGCACAGCAAAGCTTAGTAAATCCTGCAATGCAGCCCTCTATTGCACCCTAAAGGATGCAAATAAAATTACACTATTAATCCGGTTATAAAAGAGATTAAAAACAAAAACACAGAACAGCCATCTCCACTTGCCATAGTTTTGCCTTTCTATCTAAATAAAATGAGAAAATTACCTTTTTATCACTTTACATATATCTATCGTAAGATAAAAGTAATTTATAATATAAATAAAGGGATTGCAATTAAGACATGCAATAGTATATAAGTGCAATTCACACTCATATAAAAAGCAATGTTTTCGGATTAGCCACTTGTAAAATCCTATGTATTTGGTTGTATCGATGAATAATAACATTTCAGACAATTCGATCTATGGAGAGAATGTGAAAATATCCTCATACGGTTTTGACCAATTACATTTGCATGGCAATGTCAAAGGCTGCCAACTCTCTGCTGCAAGACGTTTTCATAACTCACCCAGTGACGGCATCGCATAAATATATCCTGATAAGTTGCAACAGATTCTTGTACTGCAGAGACAGACAATAAAGGAACTGGGGCAGAAATCAATCTCTCCACTAGAGGTCCCAATAGCACCCCGATTTCCTGGGACAGCAGAGAAAAAAAATCAAAAAAAAATCCCACATGTGAAAATACATTTCAAGTATCAGGTTACCAAATTCACTTACTGAAAAATAAATATTTTTGTATAAGGGCAATCAATATTCACCTTTAATGAGACCCAACAGCAAGTCATGATGAGACTGTGCTCTTCTGATATAAGAACTGATCCATGTACTTCATCCAGACCACATCCCTGTGCAATCAAAGCATTCACTGCCTTCCCCATATCCTCAAAAGATGGTGCAACTGCATCTACACCCACACCCACAAACACAATATTAACATTTATAATAAGAAACTTACGAAAAAAAAAAAAAAAAAAAAATTACAATAATTGCCTTCTCTAGCACCATAAAGAACTGCAGCCTTATTGCCATAGCCACTGCTATTATAGATTTAATTTAACATTACTAGGGGACACAAGTACTGTAGGGTACTTTGTTTGTTTCTTTTATGACTAATTTGTACACAATTGCCAACAAATTCAAACAAGTAAAATGAATCCTGGCAGATGCTCCATTATCATATATTCTGCATGGACTTTTTTTTTGGGGGGGGGGGGGGGGGGGGTTTTACCAATTAACATTTCTTAAAAATGTTACCAGTGGTTATGGCTAGATTCAATACTTAGACTGAGGGATTTGACTCTTGGATAGACTGGGGACCTCATTATTGGACACAGAGAAGTGCCAGGGGTGAATGGGATTATACACATATTTTTGTTATTCATTAATGCATGAAAAATAAAATGTGGTAGATGCCACCAACTCTATAGCTATAACTAATCAAGGAATTCACATAACGTGCAAATGTTGAGAAATCTTACATTCTTTAAAATATATATGAAAAAACAGGATAATTGTGTAAATCTAATATTTTGTGGCTTCTTAGGTGTATTAAAGTAAAGTTTCTGTCTATTAAACATGACACACCTCAGTGTGATGTCTGGATAAGTTGGAGTTTGAGATACAAACAATGAGCATTAGGTGCCCATCTCTCACCTGGAATGTCCTCATCCCATGCTTTGTGCAGAGCACTCAGGATAAAGGATGCGATCTCTTGCAAAGTGCTCACCAAGCACGAAAGGAGGGGGCGCCAACTGGGAGTCAGGTTAGACTGTGAAAAGGATTGCGACACAGCGGGCACCTCTAACAAACAGAGACGTAGAGCTGAAAGTACCCCTACACAGGAAGAGAGGGTTGGCTGTTAGAGAAGATATGCAAACAAAACTAAATCCAATGTGTCCAAGTACAAGTATCAGTCAAATGTTAAAAGATAAGAAAAAGGCATTCCAAATATTTAAAATCACATGGGTTGATTGCATCCTATAACAAATATAAGCATGCCAATAGGGTTTGCATAAGAAAGATTAGTTAAACTTGATAATGAAAAGCTCGTAGACAAAGAGAGCAAGACCAACCCCAAAAAGTGTTTTTAATACTAAAAAGGTTAAGAGTTAAAATGTTGGTCCATAGGAAAGTGTGATGGGTGAGTTAATCAAGGAGGATCAGGAAAATTCTAAATAATTAAATTTTTCTTCAGCATTTAGGAAAGAAAAAATCTGTGGCTGTAGATTTGCAAATATATTTTACAAAGGCCTTTCAATGAACAGGTGATCAGGTAACACAGAATAAAGGTGCTTTAGAAACTAAAGTTAATGTAAACAAAACTACAGGGGCTCAATGGTATTCACCCACATGTGCTTTGGGTGATTAGCATAGATATAGCAAGAACACTGCTTTTGACTTTTCAGGATTTGTTTCCTTCAGGAATTGTACCAGAGGATTGAGAGGATTGGTTAAAAAAGGGGGTGTGTGGTGCCTATATTTAAAAACGGTTCAAAGCTCAACAGAAAACTACAGACCCATGAGCTTAACGTCTGTGGTTGGAAACTTATTTGAATGGCTGTTAAGGGAGAATATTCAAGAATTCCTTTTGAACAAAAATATAATTAGCAGGAATCAATAAGGTTTTATGAAAGACAGGTCATACCAAACTATCTTAATTACATTTTATGAAGAAGTAAGTAGAAATATAGATCAGGATGTTCCAGTAGGTGTGCTCTACTTGGATTTTGCCAAGGCATGTGATACAGTTCTACACAAAAGGTTACCAGTAAAACTGAAATCATTTGGTTTAGATGAAAAATCATGCTCTTAGATAGAACACGACAGAGTGTAGAGAGTAGTTGTAAATGAAACATTTTCAAATTGGACAAAAATGGTAAGTGGTGTCCCTCAGGGTTCTGTCCTGGGTGCACTTCTCTGTCATCCATTTATAAATAATCTTGAAGTAGACATCAATAATCATTTGTCAGTATTTGCAGATTACAGTGTTCCTCTATAACCATAATTATGGAATGTGATATCAATGGGCAGTTACAAATAGTTGCCTCACATGTCACTGAACCTTGCTCAACTAGACTAGAAACTATATACAGTTTGTAGAAAGCATCTACTAGTCCTATGATATATAGATGATACAGGTTTTAAGATAGATAGATACACTGTCAGTGCTAGAGAATTTCAAGATGTATTTACTAAAACAATTTTTAGAATGTATATAAAAGCATACAGAATACTAAACTCTATATGTACACTGAATTCAACCACATATTAGAAAAATATGTTGTCTGCTAGCTGCTGCTAACCTGATTAAGCAGTTGAAACCAGTGATCCAAAACACACGTAAATCTTCGTCTTGTGAAGTCATTAGTCTACAGTGGCTCGTTCTTGTATTATAATTAGCCTTTATACATTTGATTGGCTTGTTTACATTTGTGAATTCTAGTTTAACATTTTCTAATGTTTAGCATGTCATTAGCATTTTCTTTAATCTATGCTCACCATGAAGTGGCTTGGATGTTGCAGCCAGTAGAAGATTGTCCCGGGCACAGTTGTAGTGCTCCTGTAACATCTCTATAAGAAAGGTCACAAGGCGCAGCATGGTGACCGGTTCATTTTCTGGCGACACAACCACTCCCTGTGGACTGTACCAAAGTGGTGACAATAATTAGTCACTACTTAAAATGTCATGACATAAAGGGACACACTAAGCAGATGGCAATGCCTAAATTTGTCCAAGAAAACAAAAAAAACACACTGATTGACAACCACTAGAGATACATCTTCCTTAACACCTTAAGTTTTTGAAGGTTTCCACATTCAGCCTCATCACACATATCAAGATAATACTGAACATGTCAATGATTTTGTTATGGGCAAATACAAATATTACAAGTTTTAGAATGAAATGTTGTATTTCTTAAACTGTGTACTTTGTCTTTAAGAGATATTGCAAACTGACAAGGTGTTAGAAATGGAACATATTGTTTATCATAACGGTTTCTTTAAGCAATAACCTCAGTGCATAATATGTTTGCGCCATTTTGTCCCAGACGAATTACAATAACAATAATGCATAAACAAGCTTCAAGGCTATACTACGACACTTGCAGTACACAATATACTGTGGTAACCCCAAGTTAATGGAACTTCCCCAAATCTGGGAATCTCCCACTACTGTACACTTACGACTTAGTATAAACAACAGATAACCTATTCAGACTTTAAGATGCCATCTTGAACTAAGTCAGGAAAATTTCCATGACGTATACACCCTTTAGTTATGGCCTTGTATGTTTGCCAAATTAAGGGAGGTCTTAAAATGAATAAAGTAAAAGAAGTGTTACTTTTTCATATTTGAACTACAGTAACCTAAAATGGATACACCTAAGGTATAAATAGGTGTACTTTTAAATGTTAAGACACAGAGGAGAGACTTGGAGACAGACGCTGCTCCATCTTAAAATGACAGAGAGGCTGACATGATGACATGTTCAGAAGGGTATGTTAACCTATTAATGATATTTGCAAGCATGTAATTTAATCTTATAAACTCTGCTATAATGGATTTTATATTTTTATATAATAAATATCCAAAAGACAAAACGATTGCTTCCAAGACAATCCTTATTTTATATTGTATTCTCAATTATTTACATATGTTAAATAGAGGATCTCTTACACTATATAAAATTATGGCTAAGATATCTGTATGGTTAGCCCTACTAAGTTCTATGCTTTAAGACATTATAGTGGTAAATAAGGGAACCACCAGCGGTTACAATTTGGCAATAGCTGCGCATGCACCGTTGATTGACAGTACTTCTCTGACAAGCGTTGGAATGCACCAGAGATCACCAATGCTGATCTTATTGCGGGTGCAGTAGCTGCTGGGAGGAAACGGTCCTACTTTTCTATTTGGACAATGAGGGCTCAATCTTAATTACAAAAGCACCACTTCAATGTTCAGAACAGGTATATTTATGGTCAATGTTGGAGTGATCTTTTGAATTTTGTAAAACCGTAGATGAAATTAAAGTAGGACTACATCTCCCCTAACTTTTGCCAGCATGATGCCTGTAAGAACATTATGGGAGTCAGCACCATGTAGTGTACTGAAGGATGTCAACCCCTGCATTAAAGTAAAGTAAGTCATAAACTGACATGTAGGAGCCTTCACATCTATGTTAATTTAGAGTTAAAAAAAAAACAAAAAAAAACATTAAGACAAGCACACTCTATGTTACAGAAATCCTGCTGTTCTTCTCCATTTACTACATACCTCTGCAGCAGCGTCTTCATTATGAGAGCACCAACTTCAGCTAAGGGCACCCTGGGACTGCATAGAATGGCTTTTCCCAACTCATATAGTGGGAGGAAAACAGGCTCTGGGGCAGGAAGGAAAAAACGCACCAACAAATCAGATGCCATCTCGCGGATCTGTTAAATGGGTAACAGTGCCAAAACAATAGTTACAGGGCAAACCTTCACTCTACATATTGCAACGTTTAAAATAGAAGTGAGCAGTGGTAATGGACCATATTCAAGTAAGAAAAAAGGTTAAAAAACCTGTTTTTTTAAAAATATGAAAATATTTATGTCTGCTAAAGAAAGAATAGAGGATATTTTGCTAGATTGCGTGACAATCTAAAAAACTGCCAGCTTGTAATTTTTGTTTTATCCATGCACTTAAAGCTTGCTGGAGGACACATTATACATAGAATAATATTAAAAATAAAAAAATAAAAAAAAGCCTTTTTTGATCATGAGCATTTTAATAAAGTCCTTTTGGGAGACAGAGCCTAAAAACAGCAGTATTATACATCCAACATTCTTTTCTGTTTTGAAAGGTTTTACCCTCAAAACATGCAATTATAACAATGTATTTTGATGTTAAAAAAAAATAAGGAAAGCATTGGCCTGTTTACCTCATTAGTGCTATCTTGAATGCATCCAAGAAGTGCCTTCATGTTGGACACAGAGAAAAAATCCCAGCATCCTCTCTGTCTTGCATAGGTGAGCAATACAGACATATCGCCTATTAAAAGATAGGGAAAAATGGAGAAAGTTGAAGGCACTTGTGTAAAAATGCATCTGAAGCAGATACAATTTGTTTGTTGGTGCGAAAAACACTGTATTCATCTAATGCGATTGAAAATTAGTCATCTGCATAAGTACCGGTTAAAAGTTATATACTATTTATGTGTGATTTTTATTCTGCATATTAGATGTATGTGTGTGTGTGTGGGCACTCCCACAATACACACTAATATAGAACAGAATGCCTTGTAAACAACACAGCACACTCCAATCTGCATCTGTTGAGAAAGACAATGAAAGAAGGCACCCAGCTGCTAATAAAGTGTAACAATTACCGTATATACTCGAGTATAAGTCACCCGAACATAAGTCAAGACCCCTAATTTTACCCCAAAAAACTGGGAAAACTTATTGACTCGAGTATAAGACTAGGGAGGGAAATTTCTAAATAAAATTATATCCCCCAAAAATTATATTAATTGAATATTTATTTACAGTGTGTGTATATATATAATGCAGTGTGTGTGTATGAATGCAGCGCACATGTGTGTATGTGATGCAGAGCCTTGGTGGGGGGTGGGCATTTTTATTATTATTTTAATATTCTTTTTTTTATTAATATTTTTATTTTACTATTATTTACATTTTTATTTATTTATTTTCGTCCCCCCTCCCTGCTTGATACATGGCCAGGGAGGGGGGCTCTCATTCCCTGTTGGTCCAGTGGTGTGTACTGTGCAGGAGGGGGGCTGGCAGGGAGCTGTAACTTACCTTTCCTGCAGCTCCAGTCAGCAACCTTCTCCTCCGGTCCGGTCAGCTCCCCTGTAAGTCTCGCGGTCTGAGTGCCGCGGAACGTTGCCACGGTAACCCGCGGCAACGCTCTGACCCTGCGGCTCTCGCGAGACTTGCAGTGGAGCTGACCGGACCAGAGGAGAAGAGAGCTGACAGGAGCTGCAGGAAAGGTAAGTTACAGCTCGCTGCCAGCCCCCAACAGGACCGCCGGGCTTGTAATGAGTATAAGATGAGTGGGGGTTTTTCAGCACAAAAAATGTGCTGCAAAAACTCGACTTATACTCGAGTATATACGGTACATTTGAATGTGACAGTCCACTTCAGCTCCTAATTATGCAGGTAGGTACATTGAGTGACCCTTCACGGGGCATCATGAACAATTTTAATTAATCTGGATTTTACAGCTGCATCTATGGACTATTAAATTATTCGGGATCCTAATATACTTTTGTATTGAAAATTACTCACTGGGAGGTTGTCCTTTCTTCTTCTGGGGGGTCCAGCAGTCAGAGCAGCATTCTAGCAAGGCAGAGAAAGTGAGCAGACCACTGCAGCGGCGTTGGTAATTTCCAGCAGCGGAGATTGTAGAGACACTTAATTGAAGCAACCACTCCAAAAAATCTGATTAGGTTATAAGAGAGAAAAGGTCACATGACCCGGCATGCTATTCAGATTCAGGTTTCAATTTCACTGCATTAAAGAGACAGGCCATAGTAGATTTGCGTCATATGTTATGGAGATAATGTATGAAATAAACATGGTTTACTATAAAATGACAGATATCAGAGCCAATTCTAACCTTCTAGCATTCCACTGAGAATTACAGAGAACGCTGACATGTATGACATTATACACAATTTCTCTTTCAGCTGAAGCTTTATGCGGTTGTATGTGAAATATATGGCTGTACATTTCCTGTTAAGAGTCTTATAAGCTTCCTCTTGGTATTGGGGGGGAAAACGTGAATGAAAATTTTTTTGTTTTTTAAATCATCTGGAATCATCGAAACAAAACAACAACAAAAAAAAACACTCCAGCATGATTTTATGTATGATACATCAGAGACATACATACACCTTTTATTCAGTGAGGGTCGCTTTAAAGGGTTATCTCAAGCATCATGACCATTCCATTGATTTGAAATGGTCATGGTGCCTGAAGTCTGTATGTGCAGTGTTTTGCTTTTAAAAGCTACACACAGGTAGATTAAGTTCTAAGCTTCCAGATGTGTAACTCCACCTCTGTTAGCATAATTTGGCAGCCCAGAACAAAGGTTTGGGCTGCTAATGTCAGTGCTGTGCAAAATTAGTATTGTATGCTATCCTAGGCATGATGGCAGAGAGCCAAATTTGGCATGCCCCCCCAGTCCATTCGTCCTGACCTCCCTACTTCTCCAGCGCAGGGAGTGAGGATAGCCAAGGGGGATTGGGCTTCAGGGAGAACCTGGCAAGTCTTCCTTTAGAAAAAATTAAAAAGTGTAGCAATAAGTAGACATATTTATAAAATACAGAATTAAAAAATTAGCAGAGATCCTTATAGCTCCACATCTCCTGATCATTCCTACTCTAGGATGTGTGAGTGACAGCAATTCATGTAAAATGGTTGTAAAAAAATAATAATTCATTTTTAAAACACTAACATACCATCTAATGGTTTGTGGGATTGTTAAACTCACTATACCCTAAAATTACATGATCCTATAAAAGCTAGCTTCTGGTCACCTTTATCTATTAGTCTTCCATTTATTAATCTTATGGGTGATGTTAGGGTTACACTGTAGTGTATCCAACAAGTTCGGCCAAATAAAAAAAGAACGGTTAATTGTTGTGAGGGTGCAGCTTGTACCTATTGCTTGGCAAAGGCCTATTTCTTGGCTCCGTCCTTTGCGAAGAGCAGTCAAAGCTCCATCTCGTAGTCTTTCAATGGCTCTACGAAGAGTAGCCTGTAGCTGCTGCCTGAAGCCAGAATTGTCACATCCCAGGTTATATGGGAAAAAGGTTCTGAGAAGACGGAGCTCCTGTGGCGAAAGGGGCTGGCTGGTTCGAGTACCACAGCAGAGGAAACTCAGAGCATTTAGACGAACTCCATCATCAGCAGACTCCAGGCATGCTTGCAACCTCTTCTCCACATCTTCAGTCACCCCACCCAAAACCACTTTCTGTGCACGTAGGAGGCAGATCCACCCACACAGATCTGAAGGACTAGGACCACTGAGTTGCTCTGACAGCAAAGTAAAAGACTCTGAGAAGCAGCTAAGGGTGCAAGGCAGAAGGTGTGTGGCAGCATTACTTTGTAGGGAGCTTTCCGTGGATCTAAGTGCATCACAAAGATGACTAAGCCAGGTCATTGCCCAGCATCTGCCCAACTCCTTCTCATCCTGCTGGACCTCTAGGCTCCACTCCTTCCGTTGCAGTGTTATGAGGATACGATAGGTCTCTGAAGCAGGAGGACACAAATAGTTTGTGGAAAGGCAATTGAACAGGTGAGCTGGGAGATTTGGGTACATAGTGAGGGTCTGTAAACAAAAACAGAATATAACTGATCATCTGACATCCAATAACACTACTAAAAATAATACTGACTAGTTGCATGTTGGTCTATGTTTTGTCCTATCCCATAAAATATTGTTTAGTAGGATTTAAAAGGGTTCAATCCCCAGTCAAAGTTCCAGTCATCAGTGCAACTGCACAGTAAGCCGATTTGATGCGCATGCCCTCACTTAGTAAACACCTGAATGGATCTTGGTCAGCAAAGAAGGAAAAGTAAATGTCATCCACTGAAGTCACAGGGGAAGGGGGCAGTTCTATATCATTAGCAACATTTACTAACTACTGCAGTCTCCAGTTACAGAATGCAGGGACACAGTGACAAGGGAAATCTGGGAGCCTTAACTTGTTCAATGAACATGGGGTTTTTAAGGTTTTCAGAGTGGAAATACAGTCAATGGTCAATTTCAAAATTCGAAAACCAGACATGATTCACTATGAAAAATGTTTGCTGGAAAGAGTACTACAAGTCATTAAAGGCATAGACAAAAAAAATACAGCATTTAGCAGATTAACGTTTCCGCAGGTTCCATTACATCATTTTCCATGAATTTTTATTTATCCAAATCTAGGATCTTACTGGATTAGGTCCTAGGAAGGGTATCAATGCACAGAGCGGAGTATATCTTGACCGTGACTGCCAGGAGGTATTCATGATCTTCTGCAGCATATCCTGAAGAAACACATCCTCCGATAATTCCATGAGCTGACATTCTGTGTGGTAAATATGCAGGCAATGTTGGAAGCAGCTGAGGATCAATCCAGACATACCATCAATCTGGCAAATGTGCAAGACAAGTATTTTAAATGTGGGAGTAAGAAAAAAGCAGACTTAAAAATCCTAAGGACAGTTTTTATCTATTATTTTTACCTATTCCTAGATTTATCAAATATGCATTAGTAAGGTGTGAAAAAAAATTAAATACATAAATCCACAGCTCTGTCCTTTGCACCTGGCAGAGAGGAAATGTACAAAAAAAGAGGAGAAATTGAAGGAACACTATAAGGTCAGGTTGTATTAAAAAGCTGTAAAACGTACCTCTATTCCAGTGCTGCGTGGGTCCGTCGGCACTTTATCATCCTCCTTTGCTGAGTTAATCAAAATTTAAGATCTCAGCCAATCCAATGCTTTCCCATTGGAAAGCACTGACCCAGGAAGCACCTCTGGTGGTCATCTGAGTGACTGCCATTAGAGCGGTCACTAGACAGCAATGTAAACACTGCCTTTTCTAAGTGTTTACATTAAAAATCTTGCAGGGACATACTATACACACCAGAACAACTACATTAAGCTGTAGTTCTGGTGACTACAATATCCCTTTAAACAATGTTTTGTCTCTTCATTTGTAATGTTTCCCCTGGCTTTACCTTCTCTGAACTAGATCATGATGTACTTTGATAAAGGTTTAACATAAGTCACGTGTGTACATTTCAGATATTTGACATTCCCTTTAACTATAATGAGCTACAGTGGTTATTAATAAGCAGTATATTGATTCTGACATGTTTAATATGTTGCTCCTCTTGATGGTTTTGTGCATATTACATGCAACCAGAGTGGTAAATGCAAAATTAAATAAGGATATTGCAAATTTACAGCAAAAGAGTAAAATAAATAAATTAAACTTACGGGCATTTCAGCACCAGCCCAAAGAAGCCGAGTAACTTCAGAAAGGATCTCCCCATTGTTTGCCACCAATAATCCATTCCGTACAAGCAGGATCTCAGCTATTTGGTCACGCACGCGCTGTAACCAGAGGCACAGAACTGCAAAAATGATGGAGCCAGGTCAGTACATCTTATCTAACCTAAATTCAAATAACAAAAAAAAATTTATATATATTAAAAATATTGGCTGCTCACCTTGGAAGCTGTAATATTCTTCGGTTTGTCCCTTACACATAGAGCTAATCACAAGAAAGAGATGTTCCAGCATGGTCTTTTCCTGAGCAATAAACAAAACTGACTCAGTTCCAATAACAGGCAATACGTAAGAAATATTCATTAAAAGGAAACCTCTAAGCACCATGATCATTACAGCTAATGTACTGAAACAAGCATTTGGATTGTTATATGGCTCTCTGGTGCCAGCATGCCTAGAATAGCATCCGATGCAAATTTTGCACAGCACTGACATTAGCAGCCCGAACCTTTGTTCTGGGCTGCCAAATGATGCTAACAGAGGTGGAGTTACACATCTGGCAGCTTCCAAGTTAATCTCTCTTTGTGTAGCTTTCAAATGCAAAACACTGCACATACAGACTTCAGGCACCATGACCATTTCAAATCAATGAAATGGTCATGATGCTTGAGGTAACCCTTTAAAGCGACCCTCCATGAATAAAAGGTGTATGTATGTCTCTAATGTATCATGCATAAAATCTTGCTGGAGTTACTTTGTTTGTTTTGATGATTCCAGATGATTTAAAAAACAAACAAACAAAAAAAAACGATGAAACCTTCCACACCACAACTCTGATGTCCCTATTTATAGTATTTTATGACCTATGCTAATATGCAAAATTAAATACATAACTTGGGGGAAAATGTATTTATGCATTTGTTAGCAATTTAACTAGCATATACAAGGATAATTCTAGTATTCTAACCTGGCTAGAAGCCCGTAGCTCATAGGAAAGGAGATCTGCACGGCTACATGTCAGCAGTCCACGGATCAAAGCCAGTAGTCCAACTTCATCTGTGGGGGAGCATGGCATGGACACAGATAGCCCCCCAAATCTCACCTTCCCAGTACCTGCCAGAAACAAGCCATTAGTCACTTTCTAAATCCTAAAACTTGAATTAGAATACAGAATCTCTTATAAACCAAAAAAGTACCAATCCTTTAAAAAGCAAGTTGCTACATTCTATGCCAGATGTAAGCAGGTGACTCACAGTCTCTTAGCCACAGGACCAGATTCAATCCAGCTTGGGCTCCTAACTCCGTCGAGGGTGCTGTGTTTACTAGTGAAGCGATTGCTGTACCAGCCAATAGCCTGGTATCTCTGCTTGCATCCTATAAAAGACAAATGTTAATATGTAAGTCGCAACACACTGTAAGCATGGACATTTTGAGAGGCTATATATATATATATATATCTCTCAGTGGTTTAATGTATTACAGGGTATTAAATTACATTTTAAACTGTAATACACACATGCCAACACATCTGAGACTATGCTGCTGTCCAAAAGCAGGACTGACACCATCTTCAATCGGACAACATAATGGTGGCTAAAATAACGACATGGCAGGCAAGCACCCAGCATCACAAAGACTAGTGAGATGAAGGGACAACGCTCTAGTGTAAACTGATGAAAGTGAACAAACTGATAATCTTATATAAACACAAAAAAGGTTTCAAATGCAATACCTACTTGAGCTATCATGACTTGCACCAAGAATTCCAGGATGGTTTGGATGGAGTTTGGACTAGAAGCAGGGGTCCAAATCTGTGGAATGATCTCTTCTGCCAGTTTCCTGAATATCTGAAGACATATCTGGAGAAAAAACATGAAGAACACAGTTCAGGCTCTATATAATACCAATATTCTTTACAATTTTAATCACAAAACAGAACCATGCATAACAATGGGAGAATACTATTCAACATGTACATGTAAGTTTATCTAATGATGATCAAATAGGTACAAAACTTAGTTTTCAATTCAATAAATTTTCCCAAGTGATGTAATGTGGTTAGAATATTTTTAAATAAAATGATTATAAATAATTTGGAATGTTCTTTAAAAATGGTATCAAACCATTAAGAAAGAGTATTAAATTGAGGCCTTAATCAAAAAGATTTATTCATTAATGTTAGGAAGTCTTAGAGGGTTATTCACTAAAGTGAGAGTTAAGTGATTTTTTAAATTTAGAGCCAAAAAAAAAAAAAACTAAACTGAACACAGACTTGACTTGGAGAAATCTTCTAATTTAGTAAGAATAGCTTAAATGTCTAAATTCACATAGACTTTCCGACAATGCTCAAGTTAGTAAAAAACCCTAAAAAATAAATTTCAAATTTTAAGTCACAAAGTTAGCCATGTTTTCATTTCAATGTAAATAAAAAAAAGAAATGTAGAATCACATTAAATAATAAAAGTATATGCTATTCTACGTGCCAAACGAATACACACAAAACCTCTGACTTTAATTGAATTATACTATATACTTCTTATGATAGAAGTCAATGTACTGTATATACAGGTGTTTAAGTCGATCTCCGCCTCGTAATGTCAATGGTGACTAGATAAATGTTCTTGTAAGTGGTGTTCATTTGAGCCTACATTTAGAAATTCAATTTGAATTTACAAACATTTGCATTTTAATCCTGTTATTTTCACTAAATGCCTGTCCACCCCAATCCTAACATCTTACCTTGACAATCAGATAGCACTGCTCACTGCCCTTGGTGGTTTTGTCTTGAAGAACTACAGAAAAAGTAGATTGTACAACAGAAAGTACAGAGTGGATGTTCTCCTTAAAGTAATTCTGGCTTGCCGGGCTCCCTTCCAGATACATACATACTAAATAGAGGACGAAGAATAAAGAAAAAAAATATCACGTGGCAAGGGTGAGTGGAGTGAGAGAGTAACAGAGGAATAAAAATAATAGATACATTGTATATTAAAGGGACACTCTAAGCACTAAAACCACTTAACCTAACTAAGTAATTTTGGTGCAATGATGTTTGCTACTAGATTGGCAAATCATGGAATTTCCGTGCTTGAACTTTTTTCCCCAAAGAATCTAAGAAAAATCTAACTGGACAAAAAAGTCATCAGGCTCACAATATTTAACAATGTCTGGATTTTGTGATTTTGGCTTTGAGCAAACCAGAATTGTATCTGGTTTTCGTCCTGTTCATATGATACCGGACAGTTGAAATCTGGGACCAGATGTAAAAATGTTTTTTAAATATCCTATTTACTTTACCTCTGGTAGTTCTAGCTGAAGTAGTTCAAAATAATCAACAGCAGTGCAATGGTTTCGTATGTAACAACTTGCCAGCTGCCACAAAAATTTATAAATAAATTTTTAAAAAAATCAGGCGTCAATATGATTTCCATGTAACCATAGTGAGAATTATTTCCCATAATGTTGGCCCTATCTGCTAAACTGGGCTTGGCAGCAATTACTGCTCACTTCCTTAAAAAAGCCCAATTCCATGCTGCCAAGAGTTATTTTTAGCTGCTTGCACACTGGGTACTAGTGCTGTCAGTGGGCATATAGTCAAGATTTCTAAAATGTACTTGCTAAATGGTAAAGTTAAACTATTTACTAATTATTATTTTTTTTTTGTGTCCAAGCATAATCTGGCTTACATACGGTCATTTTCACATGTGATTTCTATTTAAAATATAGGATTCTGATATTTAATAAAGTGATTTCAAACCAGACACATAATTTTATGAATGACTGAATTTCAATGGTATTTGCCTTTAGTACACATTTCATATTTAGTCAGAATCCAATCATTTACGAAAAAATATGTCCATCACAGGATTAAAATGGATTTTTAGTGAATAGTTTTAGCTTGTATTTAATACACATACAATATTTGTATGTGTGTTTAGCTCTATACATTTGAAACAGTGAAATTGAAACAAGTGTACACTGAAAATACACAAGCCAGCAAAAGAAAATAGGATCTAATTATTTAAGAGAAATGAGTTAGGAGAGAATTAGTTAAAGCTATATAGAAATATGTTAAAACAGAAAACTGTGATAGAAGCAGTAAGTCATACCTGTCTGAAGGTCTCTGAGTTGTAACACCTGTAGACAAAAATACAGAGGAGTGCTTGTATGGGAGGATAAAATGATAATATCGGCTGCAGCAATAGTTGCATTCACTATGCACTGTACTGCCCTCTTCCTGTTAGATTGTATCCTTCATGGATTTAACCACTGGGGTTACACCCTTAAAGGACACATGTCTTGCCCCAAACAACTTATGCTCATTAGATTAGGCATTTGATTTTATACATTGTGCTAGCAGTTTTGCTAACAAATGTATATATTAGGAGAAAAACCTATTTAAAAATAGATTTTTCTCCCAGCTGTGCATCAATGCATCGGTGTGCCAAGGCATTGACTGGCAAGAGAGAGCAGAAAAGACCTCCCACAGGAGGTCCCACTACTCTCCTCCCATAGCAACCACAGAGCATGCAGTTGTGGTTGCAATGGAAACTCCCTAGCCGGACTTCTTTCCATTCCACCAATGGCAACGAAGCAAGTGTACTGACATCACTGAGGACATTTGCCCTGCTTGTGGATCCGTCCCAAACAGGGCAAAGCAAAGAAGAACAAAGATGCAGTGGAGGGCGGTCCAGAGGTGGGTGTTTCACAAAGAGTAACACCCTAAAAAGCAAGAAGATGGTGGTTCTGGAATGGAGGAAAAGTGAGTAAATCTTTGTATTTTTCATTGAATATACAGGGCTTGACACATTTGTCTTCAATGTAAGGAGACAGTTAAAAAAGTTAGGAGTCAGTTTTTGTTATGGGTTTTTTTTTTTGTTTGTTGTTTTTTTATTTTTAAACTAACAAAGCTTTATTTTCAACAAAAAATAAATAAATACATCATTAAAAAAGGGACAGGCTATAGTCAGCAGAACCACTACAGCATAATGTAGTGGTTCTGGTGACTACAGCTTGTCTCTACACTGCCTTTTCAGAGACTGTAAGCACTATAAACATTTCTTCTCAAGGAATAGGTTATAGTGCCAAGAGTTCCCTGCCACTGTCCCTCCATTCCGTATTAAAACATTTTCAAGCAGTTGAACACTAGATAAGGGTCCCTGGCAACCCACAGCCCATTCCCTACTGGAGGTGTGGCTTAGAGATCACTCACTGATAGGCTGAAAGCAGACAATTTCAGACAATCACAGTTATCCATTGCTGCTCAGGCTAATGCTTCCTCATTGCCCCAAGTAGCACAGAGAGAATGGGCTGCTGGGGACGCTCGTTTAGCATTAAAAAAAAAAAAAAAAAAGTTTAACTTCGAATAAAAGGATGGCACCAGGAGACTGCAGACTCTGTAACCAGTTCAATGAGAAAAAGCAGTTACAAGTGCTACAGTGTCCCTTTAAATGTATTTTCAGACACCATGTAAACTTTTGTCAATTATTCAAGTTTGATTGTACTGGGGGGGATAATAGAGTGTTTGATACAGCAGTACATTCATTAGTTTGTTTCTCCTATTCCAATATTCTGCAAACATTGTTTATAGAAACACTCCATGCACAATAGCCACTACAGTGAGCTGTAGTGGTTATGGTGCCAAGAGTGCCCTGGCGCTGCCACAATGTAACTAGTCAAATAGTTTTTGAAATGTTTGACTTCTTACCTGGGGTCTGCTGGGAACGGTTTCCCTCCTCCGCTAGTTTATATGGAGACCCAGAAGTTCTCGGAGCCACATCTGACAGTGCAGGACTTAAGTGAAGATGGCAGCGGTGCCCGATGGCCCACAGGTAAGAAATCAAACGATTGTAAAATTGGTTTGACTACATACAACAGGCATAAAGACACTCTTGGCACCATAATCCCTATAGCTCGGTTAGGGTGCTTGGAGTGTTCCTTTAATCATTTCAGTTTCTGGAAGTGAAAGATGCAACATCTTATGCACTCCTGTTGCCATAATAAGAAAAGTACAGCGTTATCATTTGTCCTGTACTAAATGTTTAGCAACTGCCACCATTTGCACACTCACCTCTACGCCCTGTAACAGACTGGTCAGCAAGGATTCTCGTTCTTGTGACACCAAGTGTGGCCTAACCTGGGAGAACTTCAGAAGAAGCTAAAAAGGAAAAGAAAATGTAAATACTAGGAGTAATATTCAAACTTTAAAACGTAGAATAGCAGGACCGTGCATGGAAACCCAGTCTCACTGGCAGTTACTATAAGTGTGGTTGCTAATTAAGTTTTCTTTTCTCATTTAAGATTCTGATCTTATGATTTGATCCTACAAATCAGTGGTGGGTTGTAAATCTGTGTAGAAAAAGGGACAAGCATGCACTGCTGTCCTCTCTAAAAACAACTCTAGGGTTCCAACCTTTAAAGGAACACTCAACCACCATAACCACAACAGCTTTTTCTAACTCTCCTAAGCCAAGTCCTACAATGCATGGCTCAATTCATGGTCAGAGAGTGACCTGCTTTCCAAGTTGCTGTGCACTGTAACAAAGCACCACCTCTTTAGTGGTTGGTAGGTAGAGTTTATTTCTGTATCCAATCTGTACTGTAATTGTTCTGCACTTTCCAAGTGTCTTATATTTAATAAATAGGGGTGGTTTTTAAGTGCCCTAATGAGTGCTGGTTTTATCTGCAATATGAGTAGGGGACATTTTGTTTTCCCATTTAAAGGGACACTATAGTCACCTGAACAACTTTAGCTTAATGAAGCAGTTTTGGTTTATAGAACATGCCGCTGCAGCCTCACTGCTCAATCCTCTGCCATTTAGGAGTTAAATCCCTTTGTTTATGAACCCTAGTCACACCTCCCTACATGTGACTTGCACAGCCTTCCATAAACACTTCCTGTAAAGAGAGCCCTATTTAGGCTTTCTTTATTGCAAGTTCTGTTTAATTAAGATTGTCTTATCCCCTGATATGTTAATAGCTTGCTAGACCCTGCAAGAGCCTCCTGTATGTGATTAAAGTTCAATTTAGAGATTGAGATACAATTATTTAAGGTGAATTACATCTGTTTGAAAGTGAAACCAGTTTTTTTTTTTTCATGCAGGCTCTGTCAATCATAGCCAGGGGAGGTGTGGCTAGGGCTGCATACACAGAAACAAAGTGATTTAACTCCTAAATGACAGTGAATGGAGCAGTAAAATTGCAGGGGAATGATCTATACACTAAAACTGCTTTATTTAGCTAAAGTAATTTAGGTGACTATAGTGTTCCTTTAACCATTCACATACATCCTTAATACTGACTGGAGTTTAATAAAACAAGTTCCCTGGTACTGCAATAATGTGTTGTAAAGGTAATTTGTTGTTGTTGTTTTCTTTTTTACAATAACAGGGTATATTCAGTAAACTGCGAATTTTTTGGTGAACTGAAAGCGGACTTGCAAAATTTAGGATAAAGTGATCAATTACTATAGTGGAGTTTATTTCATAATTAGCTATTCGATCCAACATTTTGCAGGTTACTGTTTAAAGATTAAACTCTAATATTTTAACAACGAATCATTTTAGAACATAAACAAGTAATACTATTAAAAAATTATAAACAAGTATCCTCCCAAACAGAAACCTCTTGAGAAAAAGAATTGGTTTTCCCCTTCAAATAGAATACATTATTAAGGATTTCAAGAAATAGAGGTCCACACTGCCAGCACCTACAAGTACAAATTAACTTACCTTTTCCAATTTCTGGAACGAGCTGGTGCTATTGCATGAATCAAGCTGGCACCTAAATATATAACAAAGCAATGGAAGGATGTCCCCATCAGACAGTTGCCCCAAAACGTGCTCTGGAGACCCTAATAACTGTGCAGCTTCATCAAGATGTTTATCCTTACAGCGCTTTGCCGAGGTACTGGGAGAAAAAGATGAAAGCAAGAATAGGGGGACAATAAAGGAAGAGCTTTAATATGGTATGTGGCATTGGTGAATGCATACTCCATTGCGGTTTATACAAATGATCTGAAACTATATGTAATAGGTGGTATCCATGTTAACATGGTGACAGGTCTGCCAATCTATATCTTAATAATACAGAAATAGCACTCTGAGTCACTCACTCTGTAAATAGCTGCAGCTTTGCCATCATCGAGCCCAGTATGTTGAGCTGCTGGTCTTGGTAGTAATGGGCACATCGCTCAGCCTTTTTCAACATCTTCTCCACATGTGCCACCATGGGAGCAGCCATGGGCTCACTTTCAGATGCCACAAGAGAGATGCCAAGGTTATTTCATTACAACAGAGCGCCACCTGCTGATGGGAGGATAGCTACACACGTAAACTGTGTAATAACCAAAGGCTGACTTCAGTAAAGAGAATTATTCAGTAAACACCGGATGAAAATTACTGAATTCAGACCGCATCGGCAATTCTCAAATTTACTAACGTGGTCAGAATTCAGTCGGCAGGAGAAAATTTTCAGCAATCCTCAGAATGCACAAGGTTTTTGGATTAAATGGAGACTATAGGCACCCACTCCACTTCATCACATTGAAGTGGTCTGGGTGCACAGACCCTGTCCCCTTAAGCTTGCATTGTAAAATATGTTTTAATGTAATGTTTACATTAAAGGGTTACGACTGCCTCTAGTGTTGAAATTCCCCCATAGAAAAGCATTGAATCAATG